GAAATTCCATCTGTCATGTGACTTAAATATTTCCCCCCATGCTCCTTCCTTGTGCTCTTCACACTTGGACCAACCGTCCTGTCCTTCTCATCTTTCCTTCCCGCCCTCCGTCCCTGTCGTGTCCACTTTCCCCTTCCTCCCTCTGACCACAAAAGCCGTTGTTGCTCCTGCGCTCAGAGGATCGCAATATCCCCGGCCAACGATCAGTCGTCATCAATCGTCTGCACTTTCTCAACGATAATGTCTTCCAGGTCCTGCACAGCCTGCAATCATCGCATGCTAGATTGCGTGACGACGACCTGGAAGGTGAAGAGTCCGTTGGTATTCTTGAAGTAGATCATGTCATTGACTTGCGCATCCGACCATTCTTCTCCCACCTCCTGCTCCCAACATCATCCATCATCGTCCTTCATCTCCCCTTTTCTCGCCCTTCTCACCTTGACGGCTGACCGCAGGTCGTTCGCTGACAGGTAGCCGTCCCCATCCTGATCCCATCTCTGAAGCACGGATGTCATCCTCTCGCAGCAAGAACGAGTATCTGATAAGTTCCTCGAAGATGCGATGCAGAGTCGCCCGACTGACCTCTACCTGTCACTCTCCTTCATCACCCACCGCGAACACCAACTCCTCCTCAACCTCCTCAACCAGCACCTTCTCTGCTTCCTCCTGCACCCCCCCCCCCCCCCCCTCCCCTCGTCCTCCTCGTCCTCCTCTACCGGTTTCTTGAGCGCAAACCCGAGAAGGCGAGAGAGCATGCAGACAAATTCAGGGAAGTCCAGCACCTGGGGACGAGCGGGCAGGCGTCACCATTGAGATGAAGCTGCGACAAAGGGCCATCACTCCGTTGGGATGGGCCGACTCTTCGTTGATGAACTCCTCCACCTCCTGCACGACCTGTGACCTCGCTACCAGCCTCCAGCTCCACCGACCTCGAGCGAGAAATGGGCTCCGAACGTCCCGAGGAACTGAGAGCGGGAGGGTGAGGGACTACAGGAGGAGGCAGGAGGGAGGCGTTTACCTTCTGAATGTCAACAGCGTCAACTCTGCCGTCCCCGTCCCCTGCATTGGAGTAAGAAAAGAGATGCACTTGTGCGTTTGGGGTAGGTCTCTTCACCATCCAAGAGTGTGAAAGATCTGCGGGAAGATATGATGTCAGTGCGATGAATTCAATTAGGACAGGAAGGAAATACAACGACAGAGGGTGGAAAGCTGCAATGCATTCAATCAGCATGCTCAGCACACAAGATAGCATTCAGACTGTATATTGCTGCAAACCTCTCCCATCCGATGTTCATCCCATCATTTCACCTTCTTATCTCGCATATCACATGTTCATCCCATCATTTCACGTTCCTATCTCGCATATCACATCTTCATGAAATCATTTCACGTTCTTATCTCATACATCACATGTTCATCCCATCATTTCATGTTGTCTTTGCTCACGTTCTCAGTTGTTTCAGCTGCTCCTCCTCTAGCCGATCCACCATGGCGCCTCTAACCTGAACCAAACTAAATTACCCCACCCCCATGTCATCAACCCACCCTCATATTTAGCTATATGTACCCACCCTTATAACACCTTTTGTCCTACCCCTACCACAACGAGATGGAGAACCGTTTGCTATCACTTTGTACCTGGTTAAAACTGCTCTACCATCAGGGTCCTTACTTAACGACATAAATCACCAAAGGACTAATATAATCAGTTTATTTTCAAAGTTTAACATGATATTTCAACTCACGATAGAGTTGTTGGATTGTTGAAAGTTCCCCCCATTCTGCATTTCAGCGGCCATGGCGACCGCACGAGGGAGACGTAACGAGCAGGAGCATGATGAGAAGGAGGAGGAGAAGGAGGAGGAGGACGATGAGGAGGAGTGATAGGATGATAACAATGGGGATGACAATGGAGAGGTGGGGATGAAGGGGAGTACGATAGTGTCATTGCATCGAGATGAGGAGAGCAACATGTTGAGCGGTGTGTGCAGAACAAGGCATGAAAGCAAATCTCAAGAAAGTTTTGGGGGAGATGGGCAGAGACATAGACAGAGAAAAGCGAAGAGAAAGAGGGAGAACGCAAGGAGATAAGCAGAAGAAAAAGACGATGAATATTTGATCACAAGGTGGTTTGAGATGCTTACACTGATCTGCATCGCAGGATTTCTGTGAGCGAAGATGTTCAATGTCCGGCAGCTGAGGTTCTTTGCGTTGGCGCTGCTGCTCCAATGGACAAGACGGGCGCACTCGTTCTCGTCTCCTGCTCTCTTCTCATTTACACGACCCTCTCATCCCAAAACTTGCAGGGCGACGGGTATCACGCTGGCACGATGCACCTTGCCTCCTCCTCCCCCGCCCCCTCCTCCTCGCAAACAGGAGAGAGAGACGCGCGGTTTTCCTTCTGTGAGGAAACCGAAGATTGAGGAACCCCAGGCAGGAGCATGGCGAGATGATCTGGACCTCGGATTGAAGAGGCTGAGAACGACGCGAGGAGGGGGGAACGAGATGGGCAAGAGACAGGCAGCATCGTTGGAGAAGGCTAAGAAGAACAACCGCGCTCCTCCTCCCATGCTCACAAGGGCAGAATGGATCGCCGCCTTCGAGATCCATGGAGCGAAGGACGCGAGGGAGCTAGGAGAGCAGTTCATCATGGCGAAGCAGGGAGAGTTTGTAGATTTGGAGCTGCGCTGGAGAACCCGAGGCGCCAGCAATGCTGAGGTTAAGAAACGGCTAGGACAGGCAAACAAGGTGAAGAGGAGGAGGAGGAGGAGGAGGAACAGCAGCAGATAGGGTAGCTGGAGTGGCAGATGATAAGGGGTCTAGAGGGGAGGAAAGGGGAATTTGGAAGGGCTGCAGCTGGGGTATCTGCAGCAGCTGAACTGACACGGAATGCAAGGTTCGCAAAGATGCAGAATATCAGGAGAAGCTGGCTGCCAACCCTGCCACGCATTCCTCCTCATGGGCAAGCGGGAAGAAGATTCCGAAGCCTCCCGCAGGGCTCATGTTCAGGTGAGGGGGAGGAAGTGGTCAAGGAGTTGGTAGCACTGTGGGAATGAGGCGAGGTGAAAAAATGGAACGAGGATGATGGTGGAATGATTTAGCGGGGTTGGTGGTGCTGTGGGCAGGGAAAGAAGGTGGATGACGATGCGGACAGATATTTAGAGCGAGCCAAGGAGGATGGGCAAGTCCTTCCGATGTCTCAACCCCTCCGAACAGGGGTAACCCTCTCTCTCTCTCTTTGCGTCCCTATCTAGTTCGTCCTTTTCTCCTGTCCTCTTCGCCCCCCCCCCCCCTCTCAGTCTCTTCTCCCCTCTCCTCGCTGTCTCTCCTCGCGTTTTTGACAGGTGCGAGTCAGGTCCGCGAGGAATTCTTCGATCCGGACAGGGTGGAGAGGAAGCTTATCAGCGCCTCCAAGGTGACTCGCGTGCCCGCGAAGGGCCTGCGCTGACAGGATGAGCAGGGTGGGAGCAACAACCAGAGGCTGCTGGGTGCCGCCAAGAAGAAGTCCAAGTAGAACTTGTCATCATCACTCTTGTAAGATAAGAAAGAACCATGCCGAGTCAGGACGTCGCATCTCCTGCTCCTCGCTGAAAAACGTGTAACAGCCCAGCCCAGCTGAGATGGGAACATGTCCCTTTGATCACAGCTCGGCTATCGTCCACCTCCTAGGACGACCTCACGCGTTGAGTCTTGATCCCTCTGTCGATGAGAATCTCTTGCGCCTGGTAACATTGAGCAGCGAGCTCCCCTGCATTCCGGCACTGTCCCTCAGTGTGCTCGTGGTGTTGAGGGAGGCGGATCCTTCCACCCCTGTGCTCAGAGATCCTTTCGTCCTGTTCCTGAAGTGTGCTGTTAGGACACATTGTCGAGAGGAAACCGAGGCAAAACAAAATTCTACCTTAAACGAAGCATACGAGAAGAGGTGGAGGAGGAAAGGGAGTCAGCATTCAGCCTCCTTGAACCGTCCTCTGACGATGTCGTGCCGTCTTCCCTTGACTTCCTGCTGTAACCAGACCGGCTGCGGAAGCCTCTGCCACTGCTGCCACTGCTACTGCTCTCACTGTTGCTGCTGCTGCCACTGGCACCGTTGCTACTGCTGCTGCTGCTGCTGCTGCTGCTGCTGCTGCTGCTACCTCCCAAGAAGCTGGAGAACAATCCTCCAAGAAAGTTGCCAGCCGAGGAGGAGGAGGAGGATTTCTTTCCTCCCTCGTCAGTCCGAGTGGAGTTCTTGTCTTGCATGTTAACGGGGAAGTTACGGAAGAGCTTTGAGCGGTAAGAACCAAGCATGCCTCCTGCTTCTGTGCTCGTGGTCGTCTGGGTGGAGTTGCTCGTAAACCTCTTGCGCGTGCTGCTTTGGAAAATTTCACGGAATAGATCTTTCTGCTGCTTGGCCTCTTCCTGCGAGAAATCTTAGTGAAATAGTCTCACCAAAGATGGCAGAGACGACGGACAAGAGGGAAAGATGACGGATAAATTACCTTGGTGATCTTGCCAGACTCATCCTTATCAAAGATCTTGAATCTCTTAAGGAACCACTTCTTGGGATCAGCAGAAGCTTGCGCTCGGAGGGCAAGAGATGGTCGAATGTGTTTGGTGAACTCATCAATGTCGATTGAACCATCCTTGTCATCATCAACCTGTATCCATGTCAGCATAGACAGCAAGCCAAGCCGACACAGCGTGCCCACCATAGCAAAGATCACGCTTGTGCTCTTCCTCGGGACAAGGGTAGACGTCGTGGTGGCATCCTGCCCAGAGCTAGTGGTCGAAGGAGTTTCGGACTGCATTCCTCCGTCACAAAAACTCTCATGACTTTCTTCGCATGTCTCACAGTCCCAGTCGATCTTGCCTCAGAGAATCCTTCACGTGCAGCAACTTTCTCGATGTCGGATGGGCTGACCCCAGCTGCAAGAAGTTTCCCCTCCAGCCGTCTCAACCTGATTCGCCTGTCATCGGAACCGAAGGAAACAGATTGTGATTTACATCTCGTCGCTAGCTCTTTTCTGCTTCGTCAACTCTGTGTTTGGCACGAAGTCAGGAGCCTTTTCGATCATTTCTGGGAGATGAACCTTGAATCACAGCAGATTTCTGCTTCAAGTCCTTATTCAGATCCTTGATAAGGCCCTCAATCTCCTCCTGAGAATTACAAGCAAGCAGTCAATGGCTCCACGTGAACGTTGACAAGAACCTGGCGAGGCTTGTTTGAATCTTGAGCCTTGAGGTTGGAGAGCTCCTTCTTGAGAGAAATGTATTTCTAGAATTGAAGAGTCAAGTCAAAATCTAGAAGAAGACGAAGAAGACGAAGAACAGAAAGTATCCGATACAAGTTTGGAACGGTTGACTCACATCTTTCTCCTGCCTGAAGGTTGAGACAGAGACTTGCTTCTGCTTTTCGATTTCAGCAAGGGCAGCCTTGGTCTCTGAGAGCTTGCTAGTGATCTACAGAGCGAATCAACATGATATGAGATACTAGCATGAATATTGACAATCACCTTTGAAACTTGTGTCTGAAGCTCTGAACTTTTCTGCTTCTCGTCTTGCAACTCCAACCTCGTCTTCTTCAATGCCTCACTCTTTCTCAGCTTCTCGTCATCAACATCGGTCGCCCACTTGTCGCATCGAGCACGATTCTTCCTGGCCTTGATGAGGTTGGCATTGCAAACCATCAACTCTTCCTTGCGCAGTTTCAACTCTGAGATGGCCTGCTTCAGCCGAGCGTTCTCCGTCGCAACCTTCCCAAGGGTGGTTTTGAGGAGGCTAATCTGCTGTTGCAACGCCAAGCCCTTGCCGATCTCGTCTATCCCCTCTGCAAGGCCAAAAAGTTCAGCTGAGGAAAGGAGACTAGCTATGGACTTACTGGCTATATCCTGCGAGGAAGCTGCGCTCGATCGCGATCGATCCATCCTCTGGTAGAAGAACGCTACAGCTGCAAGGAGTGCAACCATGGCGATAACGAGCGAAACCTTTGCAGCCGACATACTTGCTATCGAGTCGAATTATCCACTAACGAGCTTTACTTCACCTACACGGAAGTTAGCAGTATGCCAGAATGCACAGAGCATAACAAAGACATTAATATCGATATGATACAAACAGGTACAACATCAGGATTCACCTGCAAGATTGTATTCCCTCCAATTTAATGCATAGAAGGTTCGCCACAAGCCGAAAACGAATCCTGACACCGCAAGGGTTAAAATTCACCTTGAAGTGTGTCGACAAGGAGATCAAGCAATCGTCTCTTCTCGTTCCTGGTGATACCTATCGATATTACAAGGCTTCGCCTCAGCCTGATCCTTTCTTTTCCTCGCTTGTGAACCAAATCTTACTCCGCTCTTATCATGGCTGAAACTGACCGACAGGCCAACCTCCAATCCTTATCGTCTATACACGTCTTTCTCCCTTCTTCTACAGGAATGCTTTTATCTGCTGCAAGTTAGACATCCACCATTCAATGCCTGCATCCCTGAAATGTCTCTTTCTCCTCCTCTGCTCCGGCCAACCCCGAAATCAGTTACTGAGCCCTCGATTCCTCCTGCCTGAAGGTAACTTCCACTATCATGTCTTCCTTCTCCCTTCACATCTTTAGTCTGATCATTTCCACAATTCTACGCCTCCCCATCACCTCGCCCTGTCCTACGTTCCCTCCATTCCCTGGTCCCCCTGCCTGCTATCCGCCATGAACGGTGCGCGGCTACGTGGCTCGAGTAGAACAAGGGCAAAGACTGGAGGTGGGGGTACATATGCAGGGGTGGGTTCTTGATACGTTGGATAAGTCATGGTGGGGTCGTGATATTTGTCAATTTTTCTCCATGGGGTCATCAAATCATCCATGATCACGGGTTATTTTTCCAAGATATTCAAGGGTAGAGGAACAGGTACTGGCAAAAAGGTATGGTGGGGTAGTAGACTAGTCCTTGACATTGTGAGGGGTTGTAATTTTCATGGGTAGGGGTCATACAGACCACCAGTGGCAGGGCTTCCTATGGAGGGTTTCAGGTGGGCGAGGTTCTCTACGTCTGCGGGTGGGGGTAGTCGTTTATGAGTTGATGGGTGGAATGAAGGACATGGGGTACCTACCCCACCCCATGAAATATAAGAAAACTTCTGTCTGAGAGGGGTACTTGATTCACTACCCACCCATGTCATTGGTGAATCTATTAACTTTTCACCCCTACTTATTTGCTTGCACCCGTCAGTGGAGCCGAAAAGTACCCACCCTTGAAACAGAGATACCACCCCTACAAAAATTATCACCCACCTGATCCTGATGATTAGTAGGGTAAGGCCGGCGGCGTGGGCCCGGCTGCACTGAAGTCCCGGCGACCGTACGATCGGCCCGCCCGGCGCCGGGCTCGGCGCCCCGGGCCCCGGGCGCGGCCGCCGCGGCCCGGCCGGCCCCCGGGCCCCGGATCATTGCATGATCATCGGATCGGACACTGTCAGTGACGCCGGCCGGGCCGTGTCGGGCCATCGTAGTTAACTCAGACGGTCACTGGCCGACGGTTACCGGGCCGGGCGCGGCCGCGGGCCAGGCGGCCGGGCCGCCGGTGAGGTAAATGAGGCTAGCCTCAGGCTCCGAGTGCCTTAGTCACGGTCTTGCCGAGTCCGATCAGTCGGACCGGTGACCGTGTCAACGGTGATGAGTCGCAGTTGAACTTGAACGGTCAAGTTCACGGTTGGCCCGGTTCGGAAGTTCTGAGTCGGACACTCGCCCCGGATGCCAGCCTGAGAGTACCGGGTCGGACCGTGACTGGCACTCAGCGCCTTTGGAGGCTGAGGCTTGCCGCTGGGCCTGTCACCGTGTGTCAGCCTGTGGCGGCGCAACTTGCCAGGATCATCGGATGCGGCAGGAAAGGACACTGTGACAGGGAGGCCTGACAGTGAACTTCGGAAGCTGACGAAGATCCTGGACCGTCCCGGATGCAAAATCAGTTTACAAGTCGGACGGTAGGAACACCTGCCACATCTTGCGAGGCCAAGAGACCATCCGGGGCCAGCGCTACGGTTGAAACGGAGCTGGGGTTGGAGAATCAACCGTCTGGGGATTCGCAGATATTCCGAGTCTCGGAGTCTATCCTGCTGCAAACTTCCAAGCAGCTGTTGCAGGCAGCACATGTTCACACCCACCAATACTTTTTGCGTGGAATCCTATCGCAATGCAATTGGAAATTGCTCCAACTGGGCTAAATCAGCGTTGAGATCATCCAGCGAGAGAAATCTTGCGGGGCAAAGAGACCATCTACTCGCCTCTTTGAAGTTGAAGCCTCGGAATGATTGCTCTTCTGGTAACTCACTCCGGTAAAACACTTTACTAAATTACAAGCGGAATCATCAGGTAAATCGTTTTTTACCTGTCAACATCATGATATACTGTCTACAAACAATCTTTCGTTGTCCTCCCCTACAATGTTCCCTCCTCGCGTCATCGACGGTCCCCACGGGCTCCTCTCCTTCATCCTCAGCCTGCTGTACCCGCCGTCCTCGGCGAAGTCTCCTCGGCGATCGATGGAAGGGCGCATGCAGCAGGGGACTGGAGACGGGGCACGAGAAGGCGCACAGGGCGAAGCCTTGAGGGAGCTTGAGTCGTCGACAATAATTCTTGCATCGTGATGATGCCACGAAGTTGGATTCTGGCGGCAAGAAAAAGAAGGTAACATGATCGCGCTGCACATTTTCTAGAGGGAGATGGATACTCGATGAATGGTGAGAAAGTACGGCAGATAGCAGGGCGAACAGGCAGACTGGGGGGATGGAGCGTGCACGTTGGCTGCAGGGAGGAGGCAGGGCTTACTAAAGACTGAAAAGGGCGCCCCCAGTCAGCAGGGATTCGGAGACGATCTCCGGAGAATATGGGACGAATTGTTTGCCTTGCTTACAGGCCAAGAGGGCTGACTGGTCAGCATATTTGCAAAACTTCTTCTTTCAATGACGCAGTTTTTGTGTCACGTTACCACCTGAGGCCGGTGCCATTGCAAATTCTTGAAAACCCTCTTTTTCATCGTACATCCCGCTAAACCTCGTCCCATACTGTATCCAGTTATTCAGATCACGTTACTTGTCAAAGGATACGCACCGCTTCTAAAGATCGATGACATTGTATCATTCCTTGAGTAATAACGCCCTACAACGAACTTGTGCATCACGATCCCCTGTACTTTTTCAAGTGAGAATTTCAAAAAAGAGACCCAACTATCCTCAAAGAATGCATTTTTGCTGGATTTGAAGATGTCGTATGCAATGGTTTAGACATGAAATGTAGATCCACATTGGTCATCATGTTGCTCTCCCGACACAACTGCAGATTTTTTGTCGGTGCTTCCCCATCACAACACCCGGCCCACACGCCCTGCAAACATCCCCTCATGTGCAAGGCCCTCGATCCATCTGCAAGGACGGATACTACAAGGCGGGGGATGCCCATGGCTGGTGCTGTCTAAGCAGAGCCTGAGCAGCTTGAGAAGCTGCAAGGGAGGGCGATGGATAGGAGGAGGATATAACAAGGACTAAAGAAAAGAATGAATAAAGAAGTTTGACGAGCGATGGATAGGAGGAGGATATAACAAGGACTAAAGAAAAGAATGAATAAAGAAGTTTGACCGAGCTGTGCGTAGCTTTGAAGCTTTCAGCAGTAGGAGAAGAGATTTTTGATTGGCCAGGGGCCAGTGGCGGGGTGGATGCATTGGACAGAACGCGGCTGGAATGCTGACGAAGCAGCACTGTCTGTCAGGTATGAAAGACTTGTAGACGACTAGGCCAGGTACATTCTTCGTTTCTCCTTCTCAAATTCACATGGTTTGTGTTGGATACTGGTTGTAACAGAAAACAGCATTCAATACGGTATCAATCAATGACAATGACAAGACTGACGTAAATACTTTGAAGTACATGGATGAGTAGCAAAAATGCTATAACACGTAGGATACATGCAAGATATATTCGACTGCAGGATATGATACAATTTATATACAATCGTTACACTACACCTAGTTTTGCACCTTACAGCCATCTTTTGTTGTCCTCCCCTACAATGTTCCCTCCTCGCGTCATCGACGGTCCCCACGGGCTCCTCTCCTTCATCATCAGCCTGCTGTACCCGCCGTCCTCGGCGAAGTCTCCTCGGCGATCGATGGAAGGGCGCATGCAGCAGGGGACTGGAGACGGGGCACGAGAAGGCGCACGGGGCGAAGCCTTGAGGGAGCTTGAGTCGTCGACGATAATCTCTGACTGAGAGCACTGTCCAGTGGATGGAGAGGAGGGACGAGTGATGATGTAAGCAGGGATGCACATTGTTTCCAGAGAGTGGGGAGCAGCGGCAGGCGAATAGGATGGAGAGAATTCTTCGAATGCCTCTATATAGGGTGGAGGGGAGTCTTTATTAAGGGAAGAACGTCAGCAGGTGTCACAGGTGTCTTCACGTTATACGAAATACCGTGATATCAAGAATTTCTTCTCATAGTTACTCACGGGTGCCACTGGCTGACGTCAGCATTTCCTTTAAACTGCCTCCTTCCGAAGATCGGTCTTAGCGTTAAGACCGTTAAACATCGAGTACGCCCACCCCCCACCCCTCAAAAGGAAGGAATTTGACCCCGTGATACTTCGGCCGGAAGAGCGTACCGAGACTGCACGGAACAGCACGGCTCAGCACGGCTAAATTTTACAGTGATGCCATGGTCCGCGTGACGCATGTAGTAAAACATCATGTGTCCATGTGACTTGTCGACGCACCCAAAGACGATCCTACCTCGTGCCTCCCAGGAGTCTTATCGCCCCTCCTTGCTCTTCTTTACCCGCCGCCCCCTTCCCTCCCTGCAAGCTGACAGACGTCTCGCCTCCTGCTCCTCCCTTTGCTTCTTCGAGCACTCTAAGCTTTCTGGGTCCTTCGAGCTTTAAGCAAGTCTCATGGCTATAGAAGCCGAGGAGGTGTCACATAGGCGCTGTATGATGGCACGCGGAGCTCAAGCCTTTCGTTCTCTGCGCATCCATCAAGACAAGAAATGTAAGGGCTTGACACGGGACAGAGCATTCTCCGCCACATTCACATGCATCAGTATGACTGACAGAGATATGAGTAGAAATCTTTTGTTGCCGTTTCAAGCCCGGTCATCGTGGCCGGCTGCAAGCCACTACCCACATATGCGATCCATCGATACAAAAGGAAACTTTGTGGCAGGAGGAGGATACAGCAAATTTGGGAGGACAGCACAGGTACCACTCGGCCTATCGATAGGACGAGAAGGAAACTTCATAGCAGCCCCCAAGGTTCCATCACGAACGAGGAGGAGAAGCTGGGGCAGCGACTTGCGCGAGATGCAAGATGTTTTCAAAGACATCAGAATTGTGCGCGGCAACATGTGCGGAGACGGGAGGTTTGTTTCGGAGTGGAGTGCCTTGTCAGGGGTGTACTTCCTAGAATAGGTGGGGCAAGTTATTTGTTGGTTGTAAATTTTGAGTCATGAATGAAATTTATTCGGCAATGTCTATAGAAGAAGATACTGCCATTGCATTGTATGATATTCGTCATCAAGTTAGAGTAGAGAGAAATTTGCAGTGCTCATTTCAACCCAGTGCAGTATGATCGATGATTCAACTATTTAACCCAGTGCTCTATGATCGAATGATTGAACTATCTCTCCAACGATTGTGAATTTGAATGTCTCATAGAATGGATGTTTGTGGATTGGTCCTGTACTTTGCTTTGCAGAAGCAAATCGACCTTGCAAATTCTATATTCTCTCGGATCTTTCTCAAGTGGGATTCACACGTCATCTCCCATGCGCCCTGGCTTCTTGTCGTTTCTTGCCATGCCGCTTTGAAACAAGTAGACCACAATTTTCTTCATTGCAAAGAGAAATTGTGTTTTGTAATAAGGGTGAACTGCATCTCATCATCCAATGTTATGAAGCAGTCAAATACTGACAGCTTCAAACTTGTGGTCTGCCCCAAGCAACGAGGAAACTGAACGAGTCTCTTAGCGTCGACTGTCGTGTGCTTGCAGCTTCCTTGCAATCGATGCCCATAGCCATCACCATGTCTCGAAGGTACATCGTTCGAGACGGGCCGAGAAATAGAGCAGTTTGGACATTTGCTTTCCCCTTCATCGTCAAAAGCAAAGAGCTCGAAGAAGCATCATACCGTACATTGTTTTATTTTCCCGAGCTTTCATCCTAGCTCCTCTCTCTATCTCCTTCTGTCAATCTCCCGCCAGATCTATTCTCAGCCATCGCCCTCCCTCGCAGCTTCTCAAGCTCCCTTGCTGGTCGATGGATGGTGAGCTCGGGCTCTGCTTAGACAGCACCAGCCATGGGTATCCTCCGCCTTGTAGTATCCGTCCTTGCAGATCGATCGAGGGCCTTGCACATGAGGTGATGTTTGTGGATGAGCACGGATGAACGTCTGCATGCGACGAGTTTTGCAATCCAGCAGAAGCGAAGTATGATCTATCCGAACGTGACGCCTCGTTGCCTTCGCAGCTAGCGTGAACACCAGGGTGACGAGATTCTGAGCAGTGGCAGACCTGAGTCATTGAGCTGCACATATGTGATGCAAGGATGAAGGAGTCTATCGGGCTCCGATCAGCCTGCAGCGCCTCCCCTGCTGCCCCCTACCTCATTGCGCGCACAAAGCAGGTGGCGATGTCTAATCATGTCTGTGGTCAAAAGTTCAGATGCTGAGGGTGGGGTGGTTGGTTTGTAGCTACAGTGTGGGGTATATTAGGTACATTTGAAGGCTATGTACACGGGTAGTGAACTCCTCTGCCGTTCATTGTGCGCTAAATGTGGGGTGGGGCTGAAGGGGGTTATGTCAGCAAGCAAAACACACCTCGTAGTTATTGTGATCCACTTTTACTCAAAGTTAAGTTAAAGATCAGTACGAGGACAATGACGAGAAGAGAAAAGACAGCAAGAACCAAACCTAATCCAGCCAACTGCTGTCCCCCAAACTTAACTGATACCTTCACTCAACCTGAGTAAGGTCGCTCTTCACAGACAGGCTCTAATAATCATCGTGTAATAACATCGTAGATAGAATATCATGTACATGTCAAGCGGCATCATTGTGAAGACTCTGCTGTCTTGCTAGACAAAAGTCCCTTCCTCCAGGCGAAGTCGCCTCATGGCCTCCTCCTTTACCTTACTATTCCCAGTAGCCTTTGCTTCCCCGCCGCTCCGAGCAGCAGCCGGGCTGCCTGCAATGTCGACCCATCAGCTGGATGAAACTTTGAGGAGGAGGTCAAAGACCGTGAAGCAACTCAGCCCTTGTATCGGTGAAGCTGAGACCGAGCTGAAGGGAGCAGCATGCGTCACCCGAAGGACCGGAACGTGCGGAGACAGCGGGAGGAAGAGGAGGAGTCACCTCGGACAAGGCGGGTGCGGGCAGGTGAATTGTGTCGAGCTGGCTCTTTCATGCTGAACGACCCAGCGGTGAGACATCAGCGTCGAGCAGTAGCTACCGTCTCACCACTCGTGCATGCAGGCGAGGATGGCGGCATGGCTCTGCTTGAACTTGTGCTCGCGTTCCAGTCGCCCCCTCTCAGCCTCCATCAGGCCGGTGGCCTAGCAAGAGACAATGAGGTCTGAGTGAAGCTTTGCTCCTCGACTTGCCTGCTTCTGTAGGCATGCCAACTCCTTGTTCGCTTCCTCAAGCTTCTGCTCGGTAAGTCTGACAAAGCATGAGTGCATGGAGGGCGATAGGAAGAACTCGGTACTTGTAGAGCTCCTCCTCCTCTCTCAGCTGATTCTCCTTAGCCTGAGAAGAGTCAGCACAAGCAAACATGCTGTTGGCAAGGAAAGTACCTTCCGTTGTGCTTCCAGCTCTCTCCGAGCTACCTTGAGCTGCTCCACTCTCTCGCTCTCTCGCTTCTTCTCTCTGCATGGAGGACTGAGTTTGCTAGACGTGGGCAAGGCTGTGACCTGAACAGCTCCGCGTCCAACGCTCTCTCCCTCTCTAGTGCTCTGCCAAAGTAGAATCTGGTCAAGGAGGGGAGGGAGCAGGGAGACGAGAAGGATACGGGGACAAGGCAAAGGTGATATGCAACTGGAGGGGACGGATAGAGATTGAAAGAGAGGGAAATGGAGAATGAAAGAGGACGAGGACGAGGACGAGGGCGAGGATGAGGGCGAGGACGAAGTGATCACTTCAGCTTGTCCATCTCCGTCTCTTTTAACTTCTGCTGAGCCTGCAAGATTTTCTGCCGTCACTCTCTGCCTTCAAGAGCATGTCGACCTCACATCTTCTCTTGCCCCCCGCGCCAGGGAAAGCTCGGCTTCTACTTTCGAGAGCTGGGCAACGTGATAGTGAGGAGGAGAAGAGGAAGGGGGTGGTAAGAAGAGCAGAACCTGATCTCCTATCACTTGCATCCTCTCTTTCAGCGCCTGCAAGACGGTCAGAGGAGAGACACAGCGATGCAATATAGGGGCAACCTGAGCCAGCTCGTCTTCTGTCTCAAGAAGTTTCTGGAGTTTCAAGATTGTCAGCACGAACAGGCAGACAGGCAGGCTGGCAGGCTGAAGGGCTGGCAAGCGAGCGAACATAACACAAGAGATTCGAGTCCTCTTCAGCGGCAGCTCAGACTGGTTGCTTACTTGCACTCTGGCATTCTCAGACTCCAGATGCGCGAGTGTGTCTTCAAGTTGCCTGCCCCATTTCAACTTAATATCAGAAACATCGGAGCCACTGCTCGACCTCTCCCTCTGGACGGCCTCTTGCTGCGTCATCAACGCGTAAGGAAGCAGCCACAACAACGAGCAAGGCTGAGGAACCTTCAGCACGTCAGCCTCCTTTCCGATCCGCTCCATCTGTAGCAGCAGCTCCTGCTCCCTCTGGATGCCGAGGCGTCAGCAGCGACCGGAACGGGGGAAGCAGACAGTGACGATGGGGACTCACAGCCTTGTACTGCAACTCGTCGGCCTCGTGGGCCCTGCCGACGGTCTCAGCACAGGAGGAGGCAACAGGAAAGCGTCACTTCTGCTCCTTGTGGAGCTTCTCCTCCCAGGCCTTCTGCTCTGCTCTGATCCTCTGCCATCCAGCATCAGCTGTGCTGCCGCCCAGCTGGGCCTGCGGCACCTCCTTGAGAGTCTCGAGATGTTGTTGCCGGCCCTCGCTTTCCCCCTCCAACTCGCTCAGCTGCCTCTGGAGCTGCTCTAGCGCGTAAAAGAAACTATCAAGAGCTCCCTTGTGGCCGTCACCTCAGTGTTCTTGTCTCGCAGCTCATGCAGGACTTGCTCGCTGTCTTGGTATGACTGCTCCGCCTGCCGCAAGACGCTCGGAGGACATCAGGGAGGGGCAAGGCTCGGACCTCAGCGACAGATTGCATCAGCTGCTCGTTTTCAGCCTGCACACTCGAGTCAGAGCAGAGCTCAGGGGCTCGACTGCCTTGCCTCCAGGTTCCGAAGCTGCTCCTCCGCCACTTGCTTCCTCGTCATGACTGCCAGGGAAACTGAGTGACACGGCCTCGCCCTCTGGTGCTGAGCGACCTTCTTGGTTCTTCGCCTGCAGCTCCCGCTCGGACTTCTACCATGGCCATCGAACGTCAACAGACGGCACAGGGGGCAGGAGCTGGAAAGCACCTCCTCCTGCTTCAGCTCTTCCTCCAGCTGCTGTCTCCGCATCTACCGGTCAGGAAGTCAGACACGAAGGAGGGGAGGGGGGGGGTTGTATGACCTCGAGGCTTCTGATGCTGAGCTCCTCCTCCTCCTTCGACTTCTGGTGATCCTCAAGTCTCTGAGAAGGAGAGGGTTGAGAAGACCTGAGACCAACACAGAGGAGGAGAGAACGGAAGCAACAGGAGCAGGGCAGGGCAGGGCAGGGGCAGAGGCAAAAGAGTGTCAGGACCTGCTCGATGAGACGAAGAAGCTCTGCCTCCTCTGCCTCAGCAGCAGATCGTTCTAACTGTGTCCTCCCGCATCAGCGGGAACCAGAAGCAAGGAGGCGGGGGGGCGGGGGCGTACCACGAGGGCTTGCAAGCGAATTTCAAGCTCGCCTTTCTGACCTTGTGTCCTCTGGGATCAACATCAGCCAATTCGACCTCTCCTCCTCCATGTCAAGGTCGCCATGAGCTGAAGAAGCGACTTCTACACCATCGAGGTACATGGGGGTATATGCTGTCGTCCTCACCTGGAGCGACTCTTCTGCCGACCTCAGCTTGTCTTGCGCCTGGCTCAGGAGCATCTCCAATCTCTTGGCTTCCTGTGGACCTGCGTCAACATCGACAGCGTCCCTCGCTGTTATCTCACTTCTTCGTCCTGCTGCTGCTGCACTTGTTCCTGGCATGAACCTCAGTCACGATGCTCGAGCCGAGGGTTCACACACCCTCCTCAACTTGATCTCCAACTGCTTCCTCTCCTCCTCCTCCTCTGACAGAGAGTTCTGCAAAAACCTCTTCAGCACCGCCCCCATCATTCACAGTAGACAAAGCTGCATCCGGCCCACGAGCCCTTCGCTGAAAAGGAGGAGCCAAACTGACCGTGAGGATTCTGAGTTGCTCTTCTGCACTCGCCACCAACGACCTCATCCGCTGGTGTCAAACGAGTGTCAGCAACCATAACGGGACGAGGCAGCATGTCACTTTGACTTCTTCTCCCTCTTTGTTGGCCTGACAATACAGTCAAAATCCCAACTCCTTCTCCTCTTACCAGCTCGCTCCCACCAGACTCTCAGTGGCCTGAAGCTTCTGGCGTAGCCCGGACAGCTCTTGCTCCGCTTGCACCTGCCGAGCGCCTCACTCCTCCTCGCAGTCGTCGGCAGCAAGGAGCTTCAGCACAGAGCATGCAAGCTCACAAGCGAGGATCTTAGCTGCTCTGCATCTTTCTGGATTTGTGCTTTCGCCTGCAGGCAGGTCAAACTCGAGAACTGGCGGAGGGTCCGCAGCAGCTACCTGCAGCTGGTTGAAGAACTCCTGGTTGGCCCTCATCAGGGAGATCTGCTGATCGTCAGCTACGAGCAGTAGATCCCAGCACCCAGCTAGCACCCAGCACCTCGTAGAAGGCGACCTGACCCTCACCGTCCTCTCGCCGGAACCCCAACTTGACAAACGTACCAACCTGCACGCCCGTCAGCCTCGACCGCTGCAGCGCCAGCCGGGTCAGCAAGAGCTACCTCTCCTATGATGAGCGAGCGCAGGAGGTGAATCGCCGAGCCTGGAACCCGCTGCTCATTCACGCTCTTGTGATTCAAATCAGACTTCGACGTACAGGGCAGCAAGTAGCCCTACCACGAGGAAGTCTCCGATCTTTACTGTCCCTTCTCGGTCCGCTGAGCTTCCCTGCCGTTCATGGTCACCTTACACGTTTCGCCTCTCACTCTCCGCGGGAGCCATATGGGAAGCCACACTCCCGGTTTGAAGGAACGGGGCTGAAAGAACAACTAACACTTCAATACCGGGATGATCGACTTGACAAAGATCTTGTCCAAGTCTGCCACAAGGTCCTCAGTGCTTCATCTCAACACACGGCAGTTCGAACCCTCCGGCGTTTGCTGGAAGTAGATACCAACTCCAGCTTGACTTGGATCAGATTCAGAAACCTAATCGTCCCATTAGTCTATATTGCACTCAGTTTGTTCCCCTTACCCCTGTCATCGTTGTGGTGGCAGCAGTCTGACGGAAGAGCTACGATCTCTGTGAGAAGATTCTACGAGGGACTGAGACGTTGCCTGTGGCGAAGAGGACCTATGCCCTCGAGATGGTGAGAAATTTGAGTTGTACGCTACAGGCGATGATTGCTGGCACAAATCGTCAAGGAAGTCAACGGACACGCTGGCATGATTGAAGGGTCGTATCAAGACCCTGAGCAGGTTCCAATTCCGACAAGTTCGCGACATTTCACGGACAGCAGCGTTTCCTTCACACGTCCAAGAGCAGGGAAAGGAAAGTGCAGGTACCTGCATCGCCTTTGTTGGGGAGGGAGACATGTTGGGGGACATGGGTGACGGAGAAGCCATCATCCTCGTAGCTGGAGACCGATACTGCTCAAACAGTGTCAGATGCAGTGAGCTCAGAAATAAGGGGAGGAGAGCAAGCATGCGCTGTGAAAAATGGGCGAGGGTCCTCCTACTGACTGATCCGTTCTCTCCTGTAAGCTGAGATGGACTTGCCTGGACAAATCCTTGCGATGCAGCAGGGATGCTCGAAGACATCGGAACGTGCGCAGTGGTCAGAAGAGGAGGGCCTTGTTGCTGCATCGAAGTCAGGAGGAAGATTGATCTGAGCATGTGCATGGGTGGAGAGCAGACGACAGGGACGTAGGTAACAGAACATGGCAACACTGACGGGCAGACGTAAGAGAAGAGGAGACGAGATAGGAGATGATCGGAAGATGACTGAGAGCAAGTGAAGAAGGAGGAAGGGCATGTCAATCCGCCGGCATGATCCCTGGCTTGCTCCGCGCGGGTACGACATAGCCTACCGACCTGCATGGGCTCTTATCGGGAAGTCCCTTGAAAGGGAGGGGTACTATTTCTCAAGTAAGAATGAGGGGTAGTGGAACTTAAGTTTGGTTGAGCCCGTAAGTTGCGTAAGGCCGCGGCTGCTGCCGGCCCGGACGCCCGGAGCCCGGCCCGGCCCAGGCCGGGCCGGCCGACTCAGTGAGTGACTACGCAACTTTACTAGTTGAACTTCCGAAGGCGACTGTGAGTCAGGGTGGTTGATTGTCCTCGTACTGATTTTTAACTTAACTTTGAGTAAAGAACACAACCTGCAGCTTTAGAATGCGGCTAGTCGACATAGGGGAAGGGGAGGGGATAGAGTGAGGAGGAGAGGAGGAGGAAGAGGGGGGAGGGAGGCGTCGAGCTGCTTCCTTACCCAAAGATGCTCTTCACAGCTCTCATGCTGCAGCCTTGCTCATGGTAGACAGGGTTGAAAGCGCTGCCGGGAACCGCGGGGACCAGCAGGTGCAGATGCGAAGACAAGGACAAGTGACACTTCTCCTCCTCCACATCCTCCTCCTGTCATGGCCCGAGACCAGCTTCACGACATGCGGGAACGCGAGGCAGGTGGTGGCAGAGGACAAGGACGCCCTGAGGAGGCTTCAGAGAGTGACCATGGTGCTGAGAGACGCGCATGGGAGCATGAGGAGCATCCTCCCCGCCTCGTTCCTCAACGAGGTGGCAGACAGGAGCCACGACATGCCTCCATGGATGAACGTAAGTGATCGGCCGGAGCAGGGGGTCGATCGGGGGGCCGCCAACTGCAGCTCGAGGAGCCTCCTGGTGAAGGAGTTCCGGGCGAGTGACTTTGTGGGAGGAGTCAGCATGCAGGACCAGGGCCCGTCGAGGAGGTATCAGCTCAAGACGCTGCTTGCCCTCGTCAAGGCACAGATCCCTCCCCTGGCTGTCGACGACTCCACCAGATCTCTGCAGTACGGGGCAGGAGCAAGAGACTCGCTGGCAAACGTCCAAGATCCAGGGAGAGCATGCTCCCGTCCCTTTTGGATCCCACACCTCGTTGACGTCCCGATGCGCACAGTGTTCCAGAGGCTGGTGAGACATTGTTGTTGCTTCTCTTCCACAGCAGTGAGACAGGAGCTGTAGAGAACTTGTGCCTCGGCGAAGCCCGAGCTCGAGCAGCAGATCGAGGAGGCCAACAACAAGATTGCCGGCATGACGGAGGAGGATCGCCACAGTGCTCGAGCGTTGGCGAAACGTCTGTGCTGTCTGTACCTTGACCTTGCAGGCGTGTAGAAGGCAGCTTCTCTGATGCTCCCGCTCATGCCCTCCTGCAGGAATCTGTGAGCTCGTGGGATCCTGGAAGGTTCATGTCGTCCGAGGGGAAGGGGTGGCGCAGCAGTCCTGGGCAAGAGAGGCTCAGTTCTGCTATCAGGCTGCAGCGAAGATCGCAGAGGAATACAGGTGGAGAGGAGTGTGTAGAGGAATGAAGAGGAGGATGTGAGTGTTGGTTCAAGGCGGTGGTTGCGAAGGAGAGCAGTAATGAAGAATATGGTAGTCATTAAGATTCTATACTGTAGGAAGGAGAAGAGCAAGGATGGGAAGATGGGAAGATGGGAAGATGGGAGGATGACAGAGGAGCCTATGAGAATGAGGGAGAAAGTGTGGATGTAGGGGATTGTTGTGCCCACGTTGGCGTTACAAGTGGAGGTGAAGATTTTCCTATCTGACCAGTTCGCTGCCCAGGTTCTCCGACCTGTACAAACTTTCCACCTGCCTCAAGTCTCAGCTTGCCTGCTTCATCGCAGCTCAGGTACCCCCGAGAGCCTCCGCTGCTGGAGTTGTGAGAGCCCTGCAGTTCGGGGGAGAGGGGCCGGGATGGCTGTCGGGCCCAACGGAGCTCAAACTCGAGCATGTAAGAAGGCTGCGATGAGATATCAGTGCAGCAGCAAGGTAACTTGACCAACAGGATCTGAACGAAGTGAAGAGTTCAACGGGTTCGGGCCTCCAGCCTCTCAGTGACGGGAGCTGCGACCGGAAGGACCAGTCCCCTCCAAAGTTACTGTGTTACGACCGTTTGACGGTCACGGGAAAGACGCTGACCAAGAGTGCGAGAGCGGAACCGACGGCAAGCCCGAGGTCAGGGCTGCCTTGCTGTGCGAAGGGAATCTGAACGTGTGCGGAGGGAAAGAGTCTCAAGAGCAAGACGACGATCTGTGAAGGGCGGGAACGAGACGTCGTTGGAGCAGTCGGGGTGCAGGGAGATCTCCCCGACGACTTTCGTCCGACATGTCTTTTCGGTGTATCAGGAGCATCAAACGAGTGAGATGTACAGCAAGAGAGCGGACAGGCTGGACCTGGACGAGAAGGAGGAGGAGGAGGAGGAGGAGGGGGAGGAGGAGGAGGCCGAAGATGAGTTTCATGGGTATGAACTGAAGGAGGCCATCGGGGCAGGAGCGTACGGAGAGGTCTGGCTTGCTACACATGAGGAATGGGAGGGAGAGAAGGGGGAAGAAGGGGAGGAGGATGGAGGAGGGGAGGAATTTCCCCATGCAGATCAGTTCGTGCTGAAGAGATTGTACGTTGAGAAAGGGCAGGTGAGAGAGGAGCTGGGGTCGAAGTTGTGATATGACGACTGGCTACTGCTGCAGGAGATACGACTGAGCGGGATGAGGGAGGTAGGCAAGAGGGAGGAGATAATGGTTGGATGAAAACGTTGATGACAATGACAATGATCATGTTGATTTTGATGATGATGATGATGATGATGATGATGATGATGATGATGACGGAAGAGGGATAGCGAGGAGAGCAAGGGGAGGGGAGGGCTAGAGGAGGGAGACGAGTAGGAGAGAAAGAAACGATGAGCTCAAACTTCCTCAGGTGCATTTTGGACTTCAATTGGCCGGGATACCGCACGTCTGCAGATTCATCGAGTCCTTCGAAGAGCATGCAAACGAAAATGTGACGGAGCTTTGGTTGGTGAGTGACGATGAGAGATAAGATGAGTGTGGATGTGGCTGAGGTGGTAGAGGAGGTGATGGGTATGATGCGGGGGGAGGGGGCGGACGAAGACCAGCGAGCAGGAGTGGACAAGGAGCAGGAGTGGACAAGGAGCAGGAGCAGAGAAGAGGAGCAGGAGCAGAGAGGAGGAGCAGGAGCATAGAGGAGGAGCAGGAGCAGGAGCAGGAGCAGGAGCAGGAGCAGGAGGGGATGTGATGTTGGCAGAGGTGTTCTATTCCAATCTCCTTTCATCCAGGTGTTCAAGTTCGAAGGTCAATCTCTCCGGCAATATCTCTATGAGACCTCCGTCGAAGGATCTCTTGTAATCCTCCAATCTCTCGAGCGCTCACCCTCTTTTCCCTCTCCTTGCTCCCCTTCGCTCCTGCCAACTCCACCTCTGCCTCCTTCCCTGCCTCTACCTCCTCCTCCTCCTCCTCCTCTACCTCCTCCTCCTCCTCCTCCTCCTCCTCCTCCTCCTCCTCCTCCTCCTCCTCCTCCTCCTCCTCCTCCTCGCTTTCCTCCGATCATTCTCATTTTCTCTCTTGCCTATCCTCTCGCGTTCTCAACTTTCTCCTCTCACTTTCTTGCTTTTGCTATTCAGATCCATTTCCAGACATCTCAATTCTGGCGGGACCTCCGGCAGTCCTCGCATGGTCCAAGAATGATTAAGTCCTCTCCTATGGCAAACCCTCAACCTCTTGACTTGATTGTTTCAGGGAAGTCATGCGCCAGATCTTACAGGGAGTCTCTTTCTGCCATACCAAGAACGTCACTCATAGAGATCTGAAGGTCCTCCTCCTCCTCCTCCTCCTCCTCCTCTTCATCCTCCTCCTCCTCCTCCTCCTCCTCCCCCTCCTCCTCCTCCTCCTCCTCCTCCTCCTCCTGCTCCTTTTCCTCCTCCTCCGTGCTGCTTCCGGCTCATCATGCTCACTTCTTCCATGTTCCTTCAGCCCGATAACTTGATCGTTCACGTCCAACTTCCTTCGTGCGGTCCCGTGCAGTCCTTGGAAGAAGAGAGGTTCAGCATCGTGCTGAAACTTGCTGACTTTGGGAGGTGACGTGAGGAGGGCGGGGAACAAAAGGGAGAGGAGGAAAGGACAGGAAGAGCAGAGCAGAGCAGAGCAGAGCAGAGCAGAGCAGAGCAGAGGAGGACAGGAGCAACATGGAGAGGAAGGAAGAGAAGTAGTTCAAAGTCTAACGGAGAGTTGCTGTTGCTCACAGTTGTGCCTTTAGTGCAGTCGATGCTTATTCCGTCGAGCATCTCTACGGGAACAACGGGCCGAGTCAAGAGGCAAGTGGCAGAGGAAGGAAAACGGTTGTATGGGAGGGGAGAAATTGTAACGGGGGATGGGAGAGAGGAGGGAGGAGGAGAAGGATGCAGCAGGAGCAGGAGCAGGAGTCAAAGGGAGGAGGGAGGAGGAGCAGGAGGAGTGACAATGATCATGGTAGGAGGAGACGCTTGACTACGCTCCTCCTGAAGTTCTGTTCGGGGATGGCGTCCCCTGTGCGGCCATGCGACCACATTCATACGATCTGGTTTGAAAAAGCAGAGGAGAGGAAGGGGGAGGGAGGAAGAGAGGAAGAGAGTGGTCGGGATGGGGATGTGTGTGTGGAGGGTGGGGGGGGGGAGTCGGGGCGGCATCGGCAAGAGGAAGGAGGAAGGAGTTGATTGCTGCTGCAGTGGTCTGTCGGGGTGATTTTCCTAGAGATGCTACTGGGAACAAGCAAGGTGAACTGAACAAAATGAAAGCAGAGAGGGGAGGAGGGAGGGAGAGGGTGTCGAAGGATGAGTAGGATGGATATGATGATAATGTCGAGGAGGAGGAGGAGGAAGGTAAAAGTCCTACAGGTGTTTCAGATCGACGGGAGGACGAGAGCTTTCATGACAGTCAAGATGCCCAACGCTCCTTCCAAGATGATCGAGCAGGTCAAGAGCTATCGGCCAGTCAACCCCCTTACCCATGGCAGGCGTGTCTGCTAAAAGCCTTGATGGAGTACCGCATCTATCCTCCTCCTCCTCCTCCTCCCTCCTCCTCTCAGGATGCAAGGAGCATCCAAGGTGCCAGCTCTGCCAGCAACGATGAAAATTCTCCATCCTCGCTTGCGGGGGCGCTCTCCCAATTCGCAAAACAACAGAGTTCTCGGCAAGACGCCATGGAGAAGGAGGAGGAGGAGGAGGAGGAGGAGGAGGAGGCAAGCAACGCATTGCAGGAAGCGCTGCTGAAGCGGGACCCTCTTGGTATTGGACTGCCCGATAGACAAGCTGTGAGTCGTTCTCCTGCACGAAAACCTGTCTCCACGAACTCCTCCCCCCCCTTCTCCTCTGCCTCCACCACCACCACCACCACCACCTCCTCCTCCTCCTCCTCCTCCTCCTCCTCCTCCTCCTCCTCCTGCCACCTTGCTCCCCTTCTTTTCCACTGTCTTAAGTTGCCAGCAGGTCAACCTCCTGCGTAGTCTGCTGCGGTGGAACGCAGAGGAGAGGATCTCAGCAGAAGCTGCCTTGAAGCATCCCTACTTCGTGGGAAGCTAGAACTTCAGTCGGGGGGGAAGAAGTGAGAAGGAGTGGAAGCCGGAGGAAGAAATTTCAAGAGTCTTCGTGCATTTCTTACAAGCCTCTACCAAATCGATTCCCTAAACCACCAGGAAAGAAATAGAGAGGGAGGAGGAAAATCAATTCCCAATCCCTACTCTGCAAGGTCCGTTAACACAGCCGAAAGAATATGTCTCCTCCTCCTCCTCCTCCTCCTCCTCCTCCTCCTCTTGCTCCTCTTGCTCCTGCTCCTCCTCTCTGCTCATCCTGCACCTGGATCCCTCGCTGCTCTCACCCGCCACACATGTACAATCTTCATCCTCCTCACCACACGTCGCATCGCTCAGCGGGCGCCATGGGCGATCCTCGAGGGCACTGGAACACCTCAGCAAAGGGGGCGAACTGGCTGAGGGCGCCGAGGACGCGGAACTTATTGGGGGCATGCGGGTCAGTGAGGACCTGGTTCAGTACTCCCTTCTTCCTCTCCACTGTACACCAAGTCTGTGCGAAGGCCGTGAAGAACACGCGCTTCTCCTCAGGCTGCCTCTCCTTCGCCGCCATGAACGCCTGGTAGGAGAACTTGAGTCCCCCGGCGTCCGCCATGTCCTCCCCCAGCGTCAGGTTCCCGTTCACGTGCCGGTACGCGACGGAGTAGGAGTCGAACAGCCGGGCGACGCAGCTGCTCCTCTCCTTGAACTTCTCCACCGTCTCCTTGTCCCACCAGTCATGCAGCGATCCCCTCTCGTCGTACTCCCTCCCGCTGTCGTCGAACCCGTGCGTCATCTCATGCCCTAGCACGCTCCCGATGCTCCCGTAGTTCCTGGCGTCCGGGTTGGAGGCGTCAAAGAAGGGCGCCTGCAGGATCCCAGCAGGGATCCAGAGCCCGTTGTTGTTGGGCCCGTAAAAGGCGTTGACCTCGGTCGGAGTGCTTCCACCCCAGCTCCTCCTCTTGGGCGCCTCGTTCATCTTGCGGAAGTCACGATCCACCGCCTTGCGGTTCACCAGCAGGTAGTTGGAGAAGTAGTCCGACCCCAGCAGGCCATCCAGGTCCCTGCTCTCCACCGGCCAGTCTGCCTTCCCGTCCTTGTCCGTGGGCCAGGCCACCTGGAAGAACATCTTCTCTAGCTTCGACTGCGCCGCCAGCCGGTCGTCGGGCGACATCCACCCTTCCTTTTTCAGGCTCTCCAGGAAGCGACTCCGGATGCCCTCCAGCATCTCCAGCGCCGCCTGCCTGTTGGCAACGTGGAACACCTTGTCCACATACAGCTTCGCTGCCGGCCAGGCTACGTCCGAGGTGGTGCTGTAGTAGCACTTGCGGGGGCGAGGGTTCTTCTGCTGGATGCCGTAGAGGTCCTTGCTGTACTCCACCATGACGTCGATGAAGTCGGCGGAGAGGTAGACCGCTGCCCCCTTGATCACGTTCCATCGCAGCTTCGCCTTGATCGCCTCTAATGAAGTATCCTTGAGCATCTGCTCCAGCCCGTCGAAGTACTTCTCGTCGCGCAACAGGAGCACGAGGCCCTTGTCAGTCCCGACCTCCAGCAGGCTCGGGTAGTCTGACTCGCACACCTTTGCGCTGCCGTCAGGTGGGCTGGTGCAGGAGGAGAGCTTTTGCAGCCATGTCCGCCACGGCCATGATGGCGTCTGCTGCTCCAACACCTCAACAGTGATGGGCTTGCCATGGTCATGCCGCTCCTTGTCTCGGTCGGTCGAGTACTTGGCGATCCTCGTCTCGAGGTCCAGCACCATCTTGGCCTCTTTCTCCGCGTCCTCGCGGCCCACAAGCTTGAAGAACTTGGCTGCAACCTCCACCAGCTTCTTTCTGTGCCCCTCCATCTCATCCGAGTCCTCAGTGTAGTACGTCTTGTCGGGGAGGGAGTAAGAGCCGGGACCAACGTTGAACGACTTGGTGCTGGAGTCTCTGGGGTTGGACGAGATGTACCACGAGAACAGCACGTCGATGTCTTGCTTGTTCAGCTCCGTCACGACATGAACCAGGGACGACACGTCCTTGACGGAGTCGATCAGGTTCAGCCATGGCGCCAGCGGCTTCGCTCCCAGGGAGTTAACACGATCCTCATCCATGCACGAGCGGAAGTAGAGGCCGGCAGGCCCGGGGTCCGTCTTGAACAGCTCCGTCTCCGACTCCCGGACCATCTTGTCGGCATAATCCCAGCTGAGGCTCTTGGAGGACTTGAACTTCGGGATATCTTGGTGCGTGGCATCGTAGTTGCCGCATGCAAACTCATAGAAGTCGTCGCAGGGATCAACATCCGCGTTGATCGCGTCCCTCATGTCCTGCGGGAAGCCAGAGATCTGGAGACGAGTGGCTACGCTCTCCGCTCCCTGGGAGATCTTCTTGCTTCCTATCTGATCCTCCACGAACCAGATGTCCTGGAGGCGCTTGATGAAGTTGATGCTTCCATCTCCATCCACCATGGCCTTCTCGAACCCTCGCTTCAGCGCATCTTGGTCTTCCTGCGGCCCTTTCTTGGAGGGATCGACGTTCGCATCATCTTTCCAGAGCTTCTGGCTTTTCTCCAGCAGCATTGAGCCAACTTTACCCATGAGCGATGAGCTCTTATCCCCTTCTCCCATTCTCTCTCCTTCTCTTCCTCCCACGCTCAGCATCACGAGCGCCGCCAAGGCGACAGCAGAAGCTATTCCCACTGCCCACCGCATTTTCGCCCGAAACAATCCCAGCGGACCCCTACAACATGAACCCTTACCCAGTATTCATCATTACCCCACCCCATGAATACAGATAAATGTCTGTCCCAAGAACCGGTAATATTGTCCATGACCCACCCTTCTTTTACCCACTACCCCGTCCGAGCTCCTGCTCTATTTCGGCTGAGGAAAGCGGTTACGGGGAGTAAAGATACGTTACATAATACATGGTTGCATTCGCAACGGCTATAACTGTTCCGAACCGTTCTTGAAGAGACGGCTGCCTCTTCGCACCGCGGGGAATGAGGCGGAGGGAAACTTGAGCACGATGGCAGAGGAGGGGTGGGAAGATGGAAGAGAGGAGACGGGAAGGGGGAGGGCAGGAAGGCAGGAAATGGTGGGCAAGCAGCGGGAAGCAGCGGGAAGCAGGCAGAAGAACGGCAGAAGGACGGGGATGGTAACCATGATGCACGGGAACGGCATGTGCTGGAGAGTAGGAAAGAAGCAGTTGAATGCTCCTGTACGGAAGAAGCAGATTACGGAGACCATGATGAAAAAAAAGAATCGAGCACAGAGGGAGGTAATTCGAGGAGCGAGTCGAACAGAGAGAAGAAATGGCAAAAGCATCTGTTAAGATGAAGCCGGTGCCGCTGCCAATCGTTGTCAAATAGTAGTATTCGATAAGATGTGTCTTCGGTTCTAGATCAGGAGGGAGTGAGTCTTGGTTCACAGCAAGATAGAAAGTTACGATGTTGTTGAAATTCAGGTTTTTTCCTTGAGAACAATCACATTTTGACACTCGATAAGAACTAGCAACTCTAGGAGAACTAGCAACTTGTTAGTGTGGTGCCTTGTGCGATGAATGAGTGTGGGAGGTGGCCTTCAAACGCTCAGCGATATCGAGCTTGTCGAACCAACTTGTTCTGATGTGTTTCTAAACAGGACAATGATTCTTCAGTCCCTTCTCTTCACCAAGCTCGGTGCTCCTTTTGAGACTCCCTCTGGAGGCGCTTGGGATGACCAGATCACCTACAACTTCACCACTGATCCCGAGTACACCGACAACGGCTACGTCAAGCACTACACTGACCTGTGAGAATATTTCCCGTCCTCCCTCTCCTCTCCTGGTTCCTTCTCACCCTGTTGTCCGTTCCCTAAATCATGGTCTCCTTCTCCTTCTTCACTATTACACATCTTCCTCCCTCCATCCCTGTTCATGTCATTCGCTCACTTCCATTCAGCTGGAGCCCGGCATGGCAGCACATGGACAACCTCGACCACATCCGCCCCTCCATGGGAGTTCCTTCCTGGGACGCTCCTTCCCAGTGGAACCTCCCCGGACGCGCGTTCCCTGGCCCTGCCGCTGACAAGTTGTAAGTTTGGTTGGAGACTTGCGATTTTTTGAGAATTTTAAAGATTGAGATCTTGTGATATCATTCAAGGGTGGGGGGGGGGGGGGGGAGGATTGTACAAAGAATATCGAGGATGATGAGGGACGAGAGGAAGAAGGAGAGGAGACGGATGGCGAAGGTCAAGATCGTTGCCCAAGACTCTCCTGGTCTTGGCTCTGCAACTGCATGAGGATCTCGTGCAGTCGCTGGTTCGTTGCGCTGTGCTCGCGCTCGCTGGTCCAGAAGTGTCACCACCATCACCATCCTCCTGTCCTCCCTGCCTCTCGCTACCTGATCTCACTCTCAGCCTCGTGGAGCATCTGGCTGTACTGCTTCGCAAGGTCCTCCAGCTCTCTCGAGTGAGTGAGCATCCCCTCCTCTAGCACAGTGTTCTCCATCTCCCTCAGGGTGGTGGTCTGCCGCAGCATCAGGACGAGAGAAGATGCTGCATTTAGTCGCACCTCGAACATGGTGATGATGTCACTCAGGACGTCGCCGAACTCAATCTGGACGTCGATGAGCTCCTGGAGGTGCGTGAGGAGCGGAGAGCAGCGACAAGTCCACTCACTCTCAGCATGGCGGAGATGAGGACGCGCTGGTCCCCCTTGATCTTCTCCTGCTCTCTTGTGAGCAAGCACTAGGGCAGCGAGATGGCAGACCTCCTTCTCTATCCTCGTAAGCATCCCTCGGTTGCGACTCGCGATCCTCTGAATCTCCTGCAGGCATGCAAGGTTAGGAGGGAGGGGGAGATCGTGAAGATGGGGAAGTGACAGCAGCGAAGGAGGAGGAAGAATGTTGTGGGAGGTGGAAGAAGGGGAAGGGAGGGAAGAGGGAGAAGAGGAGGACGGTTGATTCAAGCAAGGCAGAGACGACAAGACCTGTTCGTGTATCTCTTCGAGCATGATGAGCCGCTCCTGCATCTCCTCCACCCTGCCATGCCATCACAAGGAGCAGGATCGGACGAGCTCATGCTCTTGCCGGACTAGAGGAACGCTGACGTTCTTGAGGCCCTTGAGCTCTGCTGTGATGACCCTCAGGTTCTCTTGAGCAACGCTCTGCTCGAGGTCTTCGATCTTCCTCTCCAGCAGCTCCTCCCTGGCCTGAGCTTGTGCGCTGGTGGAGCGTCAGAGAGAGGAGCGCGAGGTCTGCGAGGCCTCACAGGGCGTTCTGAAGGTTCGTGACGTGATGCTCGTGTCGGTTCTTGAGCTCGAGGATCTGCTTGTTGAAAGCTTCCTTCTCAGCTGAAGTCTTGCTGTTCATGTACTTGAGCATCGCCTTCCGCTCCTGCAAGCTTTGTCAGGCAGCAGCATCACTCGCAGCTGCTCTCCACATTCTCCATCTTGTACAAGCGGTTGTATAAAGTCTGAGCCTCCCGGGCGATCTGTGTTTTTGCTGTCGACAGCCAAGTCAGAGAAAGCCGAAGAGAGTCTTGGGAGAGGTCAGGAGGCACAAGGCAGACCTGAGGCAACTTTTTCTATCTGGTTGCTGTGGAGGGTGGCAGCGAACTGAAGGGACTTTGACGCTTCTTGGAAACCTGCTTTCAACCTGCGGGCCATCAGAACCACTTCTAATGTTCGCAAGAACAAACCAACCTCTCCATGTCATTCGAAGTTCTTTCAAGATCAGCCTTCAGCTTGTCGATGACCTGGTTCCTCGATGATATTTGGAGCTGCAAATGAATGTCAGCAAGATTGAAAACCAAGATGTCAAACACCTCAAGCTCTTTGTTTTGACTTGTCAACTTGTCTCTTTCGAGGGTTCTCAGCGCAAAGTCATGCTTGAGGTTGTTGAGGTCTTGTTCGATGACGTGCAGGTTGCCGTTAGATTGCTTCTTCTCAATCTCCAAATCGAGCTCGAGACGCCTGATCACCGACTGATATTCCGCATTCGTGCTTGTTAGCTGGGAGATCTTTTCTTTGTAGTTGGTCAGGTTCTGATCTGCATTCAACACCATCTGATCCAGTTTGTGGTTGCTCGACTTTAGAGTCTCAATGTTCTTCATCAGCTCTTCGACCTCCCTCTGGTGTCTCAACCTCTCCTCCTCCAGCTGATGTTGTAACGTCGGCGATATGTCGCGGCCTCGCTCATCCAGCTGCATCTGAGTGACGCTCTGCCGGGACAGAGAGGGGAGTTTTACATCCTCCTTGAGCAATCGTGTGTTTTCTTTCCGCAGGTTCCGGTCCGTGGCGAGGATGTGCTCGATGTGGTACTGGAGGTCAACCAGCCGATGCTCACAGAGGGAGACAGTCTGGTCCAGCCGTGAAAGTTGCTCCGGCAACATGCTGCCCGGTTGAGCTGCAGAGCCCTCACTGCTCACATCTGCCGTCTCATGCAAGGCCTCCTCGACATCCAGCAGAAGGACTCTCCTTCCTTCTTGCTGCTTTGAACTGGAAGCCTTGGCTGAAGGCAAATTTGACGTGGAAGAAGCTTCTCTCTGAGCATTCTGAACGCTTTGATGATTGACGAGCTCATGGCTGAGTTGCTCTTTCTGCATCAGCAGTATCGAGTTCATCGTCAAGATCTTATCGTGCTCCAGCTCCATCTCCATGAGCTTGTGAGATTCTTTCTTCCTGATCTCTAGCTCTTCTTCCAGAGTCATCAGTTTACTCTGCAGGAGAGACTTCTCATAGGACAGCTTGTGGAGCTGCTGCATGTAATCCTCGTTCAACCTTGCGCAATCATCGAGAGATTTGTTTGAACTCTCGAGTTGCATACTGAGGCCCCTTATCGATCTATCCAGTCCATCTATCACCTTGTCTTTCTCGCTCAATTTTGAGTTCACAAACGAGAGTTCTCTCTTCAGCTGGCTCGTATTTGACATCTCCCACTCAAGCTGGTTCTGTAGAGATCTACATCTCTCCATCAGCTTTGCCACCTCCCCCTCCGCCATCGCCGCCCTGCTCCTTGGCTCCTTCGACATTGCTTCCTGCATCGCAAAACAGTCCTGTTTAGTTTGCTGTATCAATCTGATATCAAACTGTCATGTTGACGCCTCCCTCTTGGGAATTCACACCTCTCCTATTCAACAAAGACGAATCTTCTAATTTGAGTCACAAAATCGACAAAGACGGTGGGGTACATGTGACTCACTTCCAGCTACTCATCTCCACCATGGCGCATGTAAATGCATCCTGTCTCATCCACACATCTCCGTTCCTGCATGGCGCCTGCTGCTTTCTGCTTCCTCGATGCTCCTCGCGCTCCCATCAGCAACAAAGCATGTCCCTCTTCCGGGCGCAGCGATGCTGTAACGGCTGTTACGTTTTAAAAAAACGTTTTACAGACTCTCTTACTAGGCTGAAGGACAAAACCGCCGGCCCGGACTCTACTACACTGTGACACTACTAGTAGGCTGGCCCGACCGCCGCGCAGGCGGCTCCGAGCACGGGCCGGGCCGGCCGGTATGGCACTGCCGCAGTCACCATCTCGTACCATCACGGTGCCGGACGGTGGCAACTGCACTCACTGCGGGCGGCAGCGCATGACTTGGCATACCGTACTAGCTACGGTGAATGACTCATGAGACTCATCATTGCGTAATAATCAATCAGTAACCGGGTTACATTACATTACAACTTTTGTCTACAGAAGTTCTTTCACTTTCGCGATCAGAACCTTGGCACCTTGTGCTTCTTCCAGTCTCTTGCGAAGGCATCAAAAACTCTCTCCTCTGAGCAACGATGCTAGGGTTTTGTCGCATTTCTTCTAATAGTTCTTCAGAGTCGTCCACAGGGCCTTCTACCAAACTCAATGCCCCATCGATCAGATCAGGGTGCAATGGAGGCAGCAGGCAGTGGAGTGGATCCTCTCCGTCACTTTCCTGAATGCTTTCCGATGAAATGCTGATAGAGTCGGGTACATATTCCGAATCCGACTCGTCCCGATAAACAGCATCCCCCGAAAGAAATTCAGTAAAGAAACGACAAGAGTCGCTATCACAACTGTAGGACGAATCGCTGAAAGACAAAACAAACAATCAATATTCAAATGCCATGAACAGTCGAAGCACCTGGACTGAGACAAATTGCTGCTTGCACTGTCTTGGCCACTATCGAATGGAGTTTGAGGACACTCATCTGCAACGTAATAAGTGTGTTCATTACAGACATAGGCAAAGGGCCAAAAAGGTACCTTCAGATGCATGCCTGACGAGTGCATCAGACTTTTGAAACACTTTCTCGAGATGAGATAGTCCATCCTTTACAATGCTCCCCTCCATGGAATCTGCAGCGATCGCTCTAAAAGACTCATGCCCTCTATCTGCTGCAATATGCAAATTGACCCTGTCCTCCGATTGAACCTTCTCCTGGTCATTTCCTCCCTGATTGTTTCCATCCTCTATCTCCGATCCAAGAACGAAAACGGCACTAGACTGAGATTGTGATTCAGGGTCAGCCAGGTGCTGGAAACAATCTACAGCTGCAACTTCAAATTCATCCCCAGCCTCTGCTTCCCTACTGACCAGCCCTTCCTCCTGAGCTTTGCAATCCTCAGCCTCTGAATCGATCTCAGACCAAGCCTCTTCACCAAACAACAAGCCCGTCACGTCACCACTGTAGCTAAAAGTCTTACACTGAGCTTCTGCAAATTCGATTCCCCCAGGTGCCTCGCTTCCGTCGTCAGCCTTGTCGTGAGCGTACTCCTTGCAAGCTTGTGGGTCTCCTTGCCTCTGGCTGTCATCCTCCTTAGCTCCCTTAGCCCTCTCAGCCCCGTCCTCGAGCTTTCCGATGCAGACAAAGCTTGACTCGGCCCTGTCAGCCTCCTCGTCGGCCTCTGCTTCTCGTCTGACCAGCCCTTCCTCCTGCGCTTTGCCATCCTCAGCCTCTGGCCTAGCCTCAGACTCGCCGACCCCCCCAGGTGCCTCGCTTCCGTCGTCAGCCTTGTCGTGAGCGTACTCCTTGCAAGCTTGTGGGTCTCCTTGCCTCTGGCTGTCATCCTCCTTAGCTCCCTTAGCCCTCTCAGCCTCGTCCTCGAGCTTTCCGATGCAGACAAAGCTTGACTCGGCCCTGTCAGCCTCCTCGTCGGCCTCTGCTTCTCGTCTGACCAGCCCTTCCTCCTGCGCTTTGCCATCCTCAGCCTCTGGCCTAGCCTCAGACTCGCCGACCCCCCCAGGTGCCTCGCTTCCGTCGTCAGCCTTGTCGTGAGCGTACTCCTTGCAAGCTTGTGGGTCTCCTTGCCTCTGGCTGTCATCCTCCTTAGCTCCCTTAGCCCTCTCAGCCCCGTCCTCGAGCTTTCCGATGCAGACAAAGCTTGACTCGGCCCTGTCAGCCTCCTCGTCGGCCTCTGCTTCTCGTCTGACCAGCCCTTTCCTCCTGCGCTTGCCATCCTCAGCCTCTGGCCTAGCCTCAGACTCGCCGACCCCCCCAGGTGCCTCGCTTCCGTCGTCAGCCTTGTCGTGAGCGTACTCCTTGCAAGCTTGTGGGTCTCCTTGCCTCTGGCTGTCATCCTCCTTAGCTCCCTTAGCCCTCTCAGCCTCGTCCTCGAGCTTTCCGATGCAGACAAAGCTTGACTCGGCCCTGTCAGCCTCCTCGTCGGCCTCTGCTTCTCGTCTGACCAGCCCTTCCTCCTGCGCTTTGCCATCCTCAGCCTCTGGCCTAGCCTCAGACTCGCCGACCCCCCCAGGTGCCTCGCTTCCGTCGTCAGCCTTGTCGTGAGCGTACTCCTTGCAAGCTTGTGGGTCTCCTTGCCTCTGGCTGTCATCCTCCTTAGCTCCCTTAGCCCTCTCAGCCTCGTCCTCGAGCTTTCCGATGCAGACAAAGCTTGACTCGGCCCTGTCAGCCTCCTCGTCGGCCTCTGCTTCTCGTCTGACCAGCCCTTCCTCCTGCGCTTTGCCATCCTCAGCCTCTGGCCTAGCCTCAGACTCGCCGACCCCCCCAGGTGCCTCGCTTCCGTCGTCAGCCTTGTCGTGAGCGTACTCCTTGCAAGCTTGTGGGTCTCCTTGCCTCTGGCTGTCATCCTCCTTAGCTCCCTTAGCCCTCTCAGCCTCGTCCTCGAGCTTTCCGATGCAGACAAAGCTTGACTCGGCCCTGTCAGCCTCCTCATCGGCCTCTGCTTCTCGTCTGACCAGCCCTTCCTCCTGCGCTTTGCCATCCTCAGCCTCTGGCCTAGCCTTAGGCTCGGCGCCTTGTTGACGCGACAAGCCTGTCATTTCACGGCTGTTGCTGCCAGTCGTACACTCAGTTTCTGGCTCGTATCTAGAGTCAGGGGTTTGCTCATTAATTTTGCTGGAAGCACAGCAAGAGTTGTATTTTTGGTCTTCATTTCCGCTGCTAGCATCAGTTAGCCATTGGCTACTATTTTCCTCAGTCATCTTGTTCTTTGCTTTGATAAAATTCACAAAGCCTGACCAAACTGAACAGTGCTGTTTTGTCTTCCTCTTGGGTTCAACCTGAGCAGGACTTACGCGCTTTCTGTTGTTTTGGGCCTCTTGCTCACTCTGAAAGTGTGGTTGAACCCTCCAATCATCAACACCCTTGGCATTCCAGCTACCCTTGTCCTGATGTTCCGGCTGTCTCTTTGCTTTGTTCTCTCCGTCGTTATCATCGTCACGCGCACAAAACTTTTCGGACCATACTCCGTCTCTGCAAGTCGTGCTTAACCCCAATTCGCAATCTGCCTTCGTCCTAGATACTTGTCCATTTTCCTTCACTGGAATGCGAGCTTTGTTTTGGGATCCATGCTCGCCATGATCAATACTGGAGCTGGTTTGAGCCAGATCACTCTTTTCAGATTCTGAGTTTTGCTTAGGCTCTTCAGAAGCCGCTCTGTCATACTCAGGGTCAGGTGTATCCACACGTGTGGAGTACATCGTAGCACAACTGTCAGTCTTGGATTTTGCTTCTCCTTTAACTTCAGCCTCATTTTGAGAATCGGATCTGTAATCACACTTGGAGCCTGTAGCAGCACCAAGGTTCCCGTCGCCAGCCTTTACTTCTAGCTTCTGCACAGCTTTTGATGATGTATTGGATTGAGTTTGATATTGGAGCTCGTCAGCACATGAAAGGACTGTCGAAGTTTCAACCAGAAAGATTTGCTGGCTGGATGAGCTGTCCGTCGATGTCCAGCTGTTTTTGACTGACTCATCATCCTCCCATTTTCGTTCCTGATGATCGACATTTATCGGATCGTGAATGTCCTCCTGAAATTTCTCTGCAAGCAGATTTCGTCCAGACTCTTGCTCTTGGTTTGGCATGAATTCAGATTTGACATCGCATTCTTTCAGATTGCTTGGTTGGATCGAACATTTCTTGTCAGCTGGAAATAGAATTTGCTGTCGCCCATATCTTTTCACGCGCTTGATTGTATTCAAGATATGGAGATCTGCAATGTTTTCCGTGTCATCTGGAGAGACAGTACCGTGCAAATTATTACCTTCAGTCTCTTGGTGATATATTGCAGTATTTTTGCCGTCTTTCGTACAACTGTTCGTCATCGTGCACCGACTTTCTGTCTGGTTTAATTTAGATGTCGACATTTTACATGTTCCGGATTTTGCTTGCGCAGATTGTGTGATTCCATATTCATGCTCTTTACCTCCATCGTTTACTTGCTCACCGTGAGGAGGAGCTTCATGACTGTAAGCATCTGTATGTTGTCGATGCACAGGCGTCAATTGAGCATCATCAAAGCTGAACATGAATTTCGGAAACGGCCTTGCAAATGGTTGAATAGCCGAAACTATTTGAGGCGATTCAAATGAAAAAGGTAATTCGACTGCCTTCTCCGTTTCATATCGTTTTGATGGTTGGTCGTCTATTGTCTCTGCAAGTACTGATATCCCATGCAATTCGGTTCGAGGATCGCCTTTATTCAAACCATCGCTTTCTTGTCTCATTTGAACTTTTTTGTTTGTTCTTGTGTCATATTCAGTGCTCTGATGTGGAGGCAATTTTCCCGATGATGAGGAAATCGTACAAAAGCGATCTTCGGTGTTCAGGGATTCTTGGCTTGTATTTCTGATTTTGGAACATTCAGGATTCATCTCTTTAGAGGATGACATCGGAGTCAAAACAGAGTGATTGGCTGGCATCAACGAGTTTGGTCTGACATTTGATTGTGTTGGATCGACATGAATCTCACAGCCAATGAGTTTGTTTTTTTTTTCCACTGGAACTGAGAAAGCACCCTGTTTCAACCGTGAACAATCAGGAATCTGTGTAGTCTCCGACAGCCTTTTAGGTCGAATTTTGTCCACGTCAGGTTTCGATCGATAGTTAGAAGAAAATGCAAATGCCGATCTACTTCGCTTCCTCAACTCTTCAACATTGCCGGTACCGAATTTGAGTTTTCGTTTGCTAAGAGTAGGCAGTGATTTCTTTTCTTCAACTTGTACAAATGAAATATCATTTTTGTTGTCTGAAGTTTTTGAAAGTTTCTTGTCAGGTTCTCTCATAGATGTCTTGCGCTTCTTGTATTCGGCTAGCACAAGATTACCTGTACCTTCGACTCGTCGAACGCATCTGGTTGGTCCATGTGAATTGTTCTCACTTCTTGTCGCTGGCATTGCAACTAGACTTGTTGATGTCTTCTGTGATCGACTATCTTCCACAGCGATGTGCCAGGCGTTCAGCATGAGTCTCGCAAGCTCCGCCGCCGACATGATCGAATGACTTTGGCGGGAACCAAGAGTTTGTGGCCTATCTATGAGGTGGTTCCCTACTCCCCACGCAAGCCCATCGGAAAACTGGCAAGTGGGCAAGGTGCTGCTCATCATCAGTGAAAAGATGAAATGGAAACACAATTAGCTCACCGCATTTAGCCTCCATCCCCTCAACTACCTCAGGTTCGAGGCTTTCCTAGCACCTTCCTAGACTGGGTCATAGTGAGGTCTGTGGAGCATAAGGAAGTGGGTGCATCTGACCCTCATCCCCTCATCCGATCGCTATAGGAATGCCATAGGATCCTTAGGTCAGATAGAACCTAGGTCGTACGTAGTCAACAACATCATTGATCGTAACGGATGGTGTCCGTTGAGGGTCCATAACCCCACCCCTTCGATGTATCACCCCCACCCAAGTTTTGTGAGTCCCGTTCCTTCCCCACAAGTGACACATCTTCTTCCCGACCCCGGTACCACCCCCTTGTTTCCCTGGAAAGTACCTATCGTGACCCAGCAAGTAAACCAGAACGCCCCACCCCCAGCTTTGAGCAGCGGCCTCCCACATATGCTGACAGCACCCGCCACCCCTCAGAGCGCAAAGGGTGCCTAAAACCTTTTTTTGAGCCTCATCCACCCCAGGATTGTAGGCCAACTTAACGTAGGAAGAAGGGGTACGCAGTTGGTACGGCGGGCACCTGCATTCAAGCACCGTGCACAGGGGTGATAGACAATTCTATAAAAGGAAAACGTACCACCCCCGCGGATGAAGCCTCGTGACCCAATTTTGCAGCCCAGCCTACCCCTCGTTGAAAGATCACTACCCCCTCGAGATACCAATGCTTTACAAACCATTCTCAACGACCAGACCACCCAACCCCTATCCTGACCAAGAAGCCCTACAGCGCGTTACCTAAGTGGTCATACTCTTTTCTTATACAGGTATCCCCGTAATAGGACCAAGGGTACACTTCTCAATCACGATACGGTGTAAGACACCCCCGCCGACAAAAGACAAGCAATCCCCACCCCCCACCTACCCCAGAAATGCACTCCCCAATTTTACAACACTCTCCAATACGACCTTCTCGCATATGAGAAGGGGGGGTAGTACTAGTGGATTGTGAGTACCCTACCCTGAAGAAGAGAACGTGTCAAATCCCTGCCCTGTCCTCTTCTATATCTGTTGTATAACAGACACCCTACCCCTTGAACTACGAGTTTTCTCAAATCTACTCCCTTCAGCAAGCACCCCCACCACCCAAGCTTTCTACACCCCTTCTCCTCTGCAGAATCATCCTAGCATTCCCCTCTTCCACTAGGCGTTGCAGGGGAAGGATGCTAGATTTAGGGGTGGTACCAAGGTTGTAGCAGCGAGGGTTAAAACGTGATCGAGCTGATGGGGTACGAAAAATTGAAAAATAATTGTGGTAGGGTGGAAATGGTTGAGAATCATGGGTAGGGTTGAATCGATTTAAGCATGGTAAAGGGGTACTCGTCAGGGGGGTAGGTATTTTGTTGAGGCGGAGGGTGGCGTACTCAGCTGCAACAGAATTCAAAAAAAGATGGTGGAGTATGGGGAAAGGGGGGGTACTACCTGGATCTTCGGGCAACAAAGAAGTTGATACATTTTAGAGGTGGGGTGCTCCACGAAAAGGAGGTACTGGGTAGGGTTGTAGGTTAGTCTTTGGATAGATACTACAAGGGGTCGACTATGAAACAGAGTCGGAGGGAGGGTGGTCTTCAGAGGGTACCTGCCAATAGAATGGGGGTACGAGCTGTAGGCGGTGGGGTACACAACAGTCGCAATGTTGGAGTGAGACCCAGGTGGGGTACTGGAGCAATTGTTAAATGGGGAGAAGGGGTACTACCACAGTCACGAGGATTAATGAAGGAAACGACGGGCAGGTCGTTGAAGGTCCAACTCCCCAAGAAGGGGGGGTATTGACTGGATTAGGTGGGGTGGGTCGACAGGTCGGGGGAATGTGACTAAAAGAGGCCATGAGGCGGGGGTTGGTGGTATCCTTTGACGTTGTTTCGATCACAAATATGTATGGTACTCTTCAAAAGGAGGGGGTACATGGAGTACCCTAACAAAGTAAGCAGTGCAATCTATAGGAGGACCATCTGAAAACAAGGGGTACATTTACCAGGGCAATCCAATTACATACTGGACATGGGGTACTGGTTATTGTTGTTCAATTTGAGGGTAGGGTGGTTTGGAATGGTGGACAATCTGTGTGGGATTAAAAACACTGAAATACGAAAAGCTCTATTTTCAAAATTGAGGGATTGAAGCAACGAAAAGTTTTCTTATCTCATCGTTTGAAACGAAACGATGAGATATTTGTACGGGAGAGGATTTTTTTTACAGTACCCACCCCCATTCACAGCTTCTAGAAATGTGATGCATGTATCCTTACCCACCCTTGTGCTGCCCCGACGATCAATGACCCGTCGGAAAAGACCCAACGGCCCTGATGACCCCTGAACCGACAGAATTCTATTGATGAGAATCGAGATACCCGTAGTTTTGACCTAAATTGCATTATCGAACGACGGGTGAATGATGTATCAGTAGCGGCTGTCCGGAAAGAAGAACGGGTGGGGTAGTAGAATTGACCCAATTGACGTCCAGGGTGGGTGGTAAACATCGGATGAAGTGATTTTTAAAATTCCATGGGGGTGGGTAATCGGGGGAGTTGGGCCGGGGTGGGTAAGATGGATGGGTCAGACTGGCTTGAAGGATACAGGGTGGTACCCTGTATTTGGGGTAGTAAAGAGGGCAAAAGTGGGGTATTCGCAAGGGACGGAAGGGGTCACAGGAGGGGGGTGACAAAAGTCAGGGCAGAGGTTGTAGGGTGGAGCGGTGACGAGGTGGGGGGTGGGGTGGGAGGACTAAAGGAAAACCTTCGCCTCCCGATCCCGCTAGCTGCCATCCTCCCCCTTTGTTGATCTCTTGCGGAAGCGTTCTTCTCGCCCCCGCCCCCGCCCTTCAAGTTTCAGAGTGCTTGTATTCTCTTGATTCGAGACTCTCTCTCTCCTCTCTCCTCTTGACTGCCTTCTCCCAAACTTTCTCGCCCGCTCCTAGCACCAACCTTGCTTTCGTACGAAAGTTTCGTACTAGCCTGCTGCAGGGTCATCGTCCGTGCTTGTGCAGCTTTCTTGCGAGTGATCGCTTGAATTTCTTCGTTTCGAACTGAAACACCAAGGTTTTTGCTCATTGCTACAGATTTGACTGGCGAAACAAGAGGATCCTATCCTTCCGGTCAAAATACCATCTAAGCATGTCACCTATGAGCCCTGTTGCCAGCGACGATACAATCGTCAGGAGTACTTCTCCGCTCAATGTCACAAAGTCGCCCATCCACAAGAAAAGAGATGAGCATGCAAAATCTATGAATCAGCTCAGAAACAAGCTTCGTAGATCTCATGATCCTACAGTCGTTGAATTGCCAAACCAGGGCGCTGAGAACGAGAACATGGATGATCTGAATGTGGATAACTCCTGGTTCAACGGAGCACATTCATCAGAAGAAGAATGCTCGGATGAGGAGCACAATCCTTCACATGTGGACGAGAACCATGAAGGAATGAGCAATATGTCAAGTGGAGTGTTCGATGCGGATTCTATGGATGGCTATGAACAGGAGCATGATCATGCCGTAGATGAGGCTGCGGATGAGAACAACCACGCTGAGGAACAAGAAGAGGATTACGAAGATGACCAGGAACAGCAAGTCGCCCCTGATCAGACCCAGCCCGAGTACCATGGCCAAGAGATTATCGAGGAGGAGGAGGAGGATGCTTTTGAAGCCGGTCCCGAGGAGCAGGTAGAAGAAGGCTTCAATATCGATGATGTGGAGAACTACAATGCAAACATGATCGATGGAGAGGCCGAAGTGGACCAAGAAAGGGAGGAGTACGTGGATGCCAACTTTCACCCCGAGGTCTCAGTCGATGAGCTGTGTGAAGACCAGCACGAGGGGGTGTCGTTGGACTGGATCGAGGACGAAGACCGTGGTGCCCATGCTGGTTTTGATCATCATGCGACGTCTGTGGGAAACGAGTTTGCCCACGATAATCAGGGACAAATCGATTGCTTCGACAGCAGCGTTGCAGCTCCTCCGCCGGCTGATGATGATTTGTAGGATTGTAGATAGTCCCGCCTGGCATGTCTCTATACAATAAATTGTGATAGCTTTGATGGGACTTGTGATCGATGAAAGAAGGTGAAGGCTCCGGTTTTCACTTGAGTGTTAAAATGTATTTACAAGCGATCTGTACATCTACGATGGGGAGAGTGGGGCGTGTTTCACTCCCTTCTGCCCCGTCCGTGGGGTGCAAGCACGTTGCTGCCTGTGAGCGGTGAAGATTAAACGACAAAACGAGAGCAAGAGGAAAACCTGTGTTGTGCCAGGTACTTGAACCCCATCCTCCTCTGCTGAGTTTCTCTCCTTGAATTCAGTCAGAGTAGGATCAAGGAACGATCCGCACTCCGCTACCTGACGCTTTTGCTGGAGCTCGCGACAGGATTTCTAGCGCCTCCTGGAGCTCTTGCCCATCCTTCTTATACAACATATGCTTGACTTCACCCCACTCCTCCCTAGTCTTGGGCTCTCCGAGGACAGCACTCCTGCAAGACCTCAGCGTCATGAGAGAAGGGGAGGGGAAAGGAGGGGAGAGAGGAGGAGACGAGGGGGAAGATGGGAAAGGAGGAGGAGAGGAGGAGGGGAGAGAGGAGAGGAGGAGGAGAGGAGGAGGGGAGAGAGTAGGGGAGAGAGGAGATGGAGTGTCACCTCCAGCCGGAACCCAGCGAGTCGGTGCACACTAAAAGTTTTCTTCGTGCATCCTCAGCCCATCGCTCGACCTTGGCTATGGAGGATTGAAGCCGCCGGACCGAAGGATCGATCTGCGGAGGCAGGAGGAAGCAACCTCCTATCAGTCGCCCATGTCGACCAGCATGCTCGTCGCAACCTTCAGTCTTGCCGCATCTCTCGCCTTCTTCGCTTCCTCGTAGCGTTCCCTCAGCCCAGGGACCACCAGCTCTTCATCCTCCATGACAGCTGCTGCTTTCTCGTGCAGCTTCTTGGCAGACTCCACCTTCCACTCCCATGCCTTTCAAGACGAGTCACCACAACGTGACTTCATGGAAAGAGCTTGCCTGCGTCTGGTTCTCGTGGAGAGCAACCTGTTGATCGAACTGCAGCACATTCACCGTCTTGTCATTCGAGCATGCCTCCCTCCTCCTCGTCTTCCTCCTTCTTGCTACTCAACCCTCCCTCCGTTCCACTTGCTGTCTCCCTTCTCTCGAAGTTCCTTCCCTGGTCTGTTGCTGACTTCTCCTCTCTATGTTGGTCCAGCATCGTCACCTGCTCCAACTCTTCTTGCAGCGCTTGACGATCGTGATCGATGTAGCTGATCAGATTCTACAAACAAGAACTCTGGTCAAGGCAGATCTTTGGCAAGATCCGAGGGAAAGAGAAAACGAGCGCACGAGGAGGAGGAGACAGCGGAGCTCTAGCAACCTGCAGGATCGTCTCCAGCCTCCCCTTCTTGGAACTCAAGGAGCTGTAAAGACCCGACGTGAGGGCCGCAAGCTCACTGCTGAAAGGAAGTTTCTTTGTTTCCAGCTCCTTCGCCACAGCTCGAGCTTGACTGGTCTGCAAACAAAGCCGATTACCAACTCATCCCAACCATCCTCCTCTCTCTTCCCCCTCCCCCAGCTCTCTTCCTGGTCTCGTGTCCTCTCGATCACTCCCTGACCCAACTCCCTCGCAGATTCCCTCAGACTCTCCTCCCTCCCACATCGCCATTTCTCACCTTAGCCTGTGAGATCATGACGCCGATCTGCTCAACCATATCCCGCTCAGCATCCAGCTCCTGAACTTGTGCGTGAGCGCCTTCCACCAGCCATCGGCAGAGCTGCTACATTCATCTCCTCCTCCACCCTTGCATGCTCGTTGGCCTGCTTGATGACGAGCAGCGCCGTTGTCTTCCTGCTCACTTCCAGCTGCTCCCCGTCACTCGCTGCTCAGCTGCAGCAACGCAGGCGAACCTTCTTCACCAGCTCCTCCAGCAGGCTGCCAGACTCCTCCTTCTGCTCATCACCTTTAGAACCATAGAACCATTCGAGCCATCCCAAAACCATCATCCTGCCCCTCTCCCACATTTCCCTGCATCTTACCCCCCCGCCCCCCCCGCCACATCCCCACCCCACGTATCCCTCCTGTCTTGCAAAATCTTCCATCCTCTACGAAAGATTGCAACCTTTCTCTCCACCCACCTGCCATGAGCTGAGCCGAAAGTGCGCTTCAGCGGCCAACAACTTCTTCTCTGCCTCCTGCGTGCTCTCCATCATTCTACATGCCTCTGCCACATGAACCCACCTCCACGTCCTCCTCCTCGTGTCTCGTCAAGTTCTGTTGCGCCTTCAGCTTGTCCTCCAGCTCGGACAACAATCGTTTCATCTCTCGCCACCCCTGCCGCTCCTTCACGCAAGGATCCACAAGCGCTGCAAGCTGCTCTGCATCCTTGTCCTCCTGCTTGGCTACTGCCTGCACGTCTCGCTGCAACGGCAACGAGCGTCAGATCAAGGAGGAATCAGGACAGTGTCAAGGCCAACAGCAGCAGTAGAAGGGCAGCCTCAAGTCTCACAACTGTCAAACATGCTTACGTCATCGGAGCTGACTGTCTCGTTGATAAACATTTTGTTCTTGTCCAAGTATCTCTGTCGCCGGGACTTGATCAGTGCCAGGCTCAACTACATCCTCCACAACTCACTTGCACCGTGGAGTCAAGGCTGGCAATGCGACCTGATAACGAGCAACAGACCTCACTATCGTCCCAACGCTAGTCAAGGACAGAGCTTACCCATTGACGTGGCATCATCAGCCTGCAAGTCCTCCCCCTTCTCCTTCAGATGCTCCACTTGTTGTCTCAACGACGCCACCATCTTCGCGTTCAACTTCTTCACTTCCTGCACATCACCACATATAAGCCAGTCTCATCATCTTCTTTCTGCACTAGCAGAGCAACACCATCACTGACAAGTCTTACCTGCAGCTTTTCCTCTTCCTTCTCCACTTCTCGCAAGACTCCAGAGCTCCTTACTCGCAAGTTCTTTGGAAGCCTGCAAAATTCTTCAGCAACACAACTCGAGGCGATGAACGTCTTTACCCTTGCAGAATCTCTTTCACCTCAACCTTGTTGATGTCCTTCAAAACGTGTTAAGCAGAAGCATCGTAAAGGCAGATGACAGTACCTTGACCGCTACTCGACCGAAAGTCTGCGATAATTCTCCCATCCTTCCTCTGACCTTGTCTGCGTTCCTGCAGGTAGGATCAAGACAAGGGAAGAGGCAGCAGATGGCACGAATAAGAAATAAACGCGACAGGACTCATTCTCCGCCATTGTCCTCACCTCGCATAGTTCCGGGAGATACTCTCCGCCTCCTCGAGAAGTTGCTTCATCCTACACTGCCGGTGAGTTCCAACGGCAGCAACACAAACCTGTCACCTGCTCCTCGACTTCGAAACACTGTGAAACAGCCGCGCAATCTTCGCCGCCTGCTCCTCCTCCTCGCCCGCGGCCTGTCTGGCCAGCATCTCCGACTTGGACTTGATCTTCGATAGATCCCGAAGGATCGAGCTCTTAGCAAAAGATCCATTCCAGTCTGCTGCCATTCTCTCCCTCCTAGTTCCCCTGAGGATCAAGATAGCGTCGCTCGCCGCATGCTTCAAGGTGCCATTGGGAGCAAACGCCTCTTGCAGGCTGTGCATAGTCCGCCACAGCCCCTCCTGCACGGTTGAATTGGACGAGTAGTTGCTCTTCCAATCTCGGACGATGTGCTGCATGGTGGACTGGGCCTCGTTCATGGCGTTGGCGACATGCTGAGGGCTCCATGCCAAGTAGCCGACGAACCTGTCGTCGTCGTTGTCATCGTCGTCGATCATTTCATCGAGCTCGCCGAGCTCCGCATGAACCTGACCCTGGCCCTGGCCATGGAGCCAGCAGGCGATCCCGAGGAGGAAGAGGAGGAGGAGGAGGAGGAGGAGGAGGGTCTTATGTGCCCTCGCCTTATCGGTAGCCATCATCCTCTTGCCGTGAGACTTATTCCCTCCATCTGACAACAGGCAAGAGCCGATTCGCTCTCATGCTCGACCGTCCTCACACTCCATTCTTTGCCGGTGAGGTCTCATATTGAATCTTCCTCGTCTCCTTCTCTCCACTCTCTGCTTCCCTACCCTTGCTTGACATGCATGCCGAAATAGCTCAATGGCAATGAATGTGTGGGCCTGCCTCGGCCACCCTGGCTGCCACCCGCCGCACAGCGGCACCGTCGCCGCCGACTCGCCCGGCCCGCCCGGGCCGCTGCTGGGCCCGGGGCTAGCCTAGCCTAGTACTGAGGGCCCGGCCGGCTGCTCAGCGGCCCGGCCCGGGGCGGGCCAGGGCCCGGCGGCAGCATTAGGCTCAGTGACCGGATCATAGCTAAACTTCCGTCACGTTAGCCACTGGCCGCGGCGGCACTGCTGCTGAGTCACCCGTCAATCAGTCACGCCCCGTGCCAACTTGGGCCAAGTTGCCTACTGAGCTTTTCCGATGATCCGCCGTCATGATCGGCGGCCCAGATGCGGCGCCGGGCACTACAGTCGCACCGTGGCACTCAGTCACTGACCGCGGCGCCGGTCACGGTCGGAACAAGCCGCCTTCGATTGAGAAGGGCCGCACATGCCATGACAGACTCGGATAGATCATGCAAGTTGTATTCTACCCGGTGAGAATCTCCGCTCCCGGGGATGTAAAACTTGACTCGCTTAGGCGGGGGCTCGACTCGTGACGTCACTTTTCGGAGCCCCGGCCCCCGCGGGCCTGACCGTACGCCGCCGCCGGGCCGTCCGTCGCCGCCGCCGGGCTGCACGGCGCGGCCGCCGAGGTATCTTTACTGGTATCAGTTAAGTTTGGGCCCGGGGGGACAGCACTGTTGGCAGGATGGGTTTTGGTTCTCGCTGTCTTTTCTCTTCTCGCCGTTTGCCCGGCAGTGTGCGACAGAGTGTCAGGGTCAGGTCAAGGCTCCTCGACTCTCCTGATTGTCCTCGTACTGATTGTTAACTTGACTGTCCTCGTACTGATTGTTAACTTGCCTACACAATGAGCGGCCGTGGCAGCCTCCGACCGGATGGACTTGGGCCGAGGAGCTTGCCAGGAGGAGACTGACTCGGAAAGGCTCAGTGGGCCAGTCGCTCTCGTCCATGGGACTTGGCTGCCGCCCTGCTTCCTGCATGAGCAACGGTGAGTGCGACACCGTTATGGTGACCAAGATCAGAGCCGCAGGATGAAGGGAGTAGATCAGGTCACTCATGGGGAGAGAAGGGGAGAGAGAGTAAGCTGGAGAGAGGAGAGCATACCCATCCTTGCAATGTCTCTCACAGTCGGCTTGTGCTCTGGCTCCGCACGTTTGGATCGTCGTTGCCCATCTCGCCTCCTCTTGCTCTTGTCCTCCACCTTCTCTGACACCCTGCCCTCCAACGAGGGCTGAGCCTCCTCCGATGGCCCGCTGCCATCGCCTCCCTGCCTCTCTCCCCCCTCCTCCTCAACATGGGCGCCCCTGCCGTCCGCCCCTTCGTGATCCGGCATGAACTTCTCGAGCTTGGTCGTCTCCTCCACTTCTCGTCTTGACACAAACCTCATCGGGATCGGCTCCTGCACTCGAGGGCGCACGAAGTCGGCGCTCAGCCCTGGCTCTTCAGGCTTGGACAGCAGAGATCAGATCACGGGAACGAGCGAGATGCATTCACCTTCTTCCCCGCCCGGCCGTCAAGTTTCTCCTTGATGGGCTGTGGAACCACCTGAATCAAAGTCAGCATGCACAGTCTGAGATCGACTCTTCCTCTTCCTCCTCCTCACCTTCCTCTCCCGCATGACTTGTATCACTGACGACAGAGCGATCGCCTGTTCAGTCGCATGATGCACTCCTCCCCCCCCCTCCTCCCTCTCACCTTCACCCAGTCCTCCACCGTCTCTGGCAGATCTGCCGTATACACAATCTCATTCACCAGGACCCTCGTGCTGGTAATGCTGAAAAGACCTCCTGTTCGTACAACGAAAGTGTCCGGACTATCTGTGACCCACCGAAGGTCCTCAGTCAGACTCCACCTCCTCCACCTCCTCCACCTCCTCCACCTCCACCACCTCTACCACCACCACAACCACCTCCTATTCCATCACGACCGTACCTTTTGGGCGGAAGCACACGCATCCTTCCAAGGAGATCTTGTCGGCGAGGACGAACTGATTGTATCTCTCTGCGAACTCGTACATGTAGTTCTCATGCAGCGCACACCATCGCTCCCTCCTCCTCTTCGTGGCCTTGTCGATGCAGCTCATCCAACCATGGATGATCGCTTCATCGTAGAGGCGGTCGGCAAGACTCTCTACGAAGGGCACGGTAGTGAACGGGATGAGACCAGGCATCCTCCCTGGAGGAATCTCCCCCCCCCTCATCAGGGCCATGCCTGCTTCCACGTCATGGCCGTCTTGTCTGCTTAGGATGCTTTCTCGTTCTGGTGGCTCCGTTTTCCCAATGTTGACGGCAACTTTATCGTGCCTGTTCCTTTGTTGGGGGTTGTTGACGTTTGCAGCATGTTTCTCCTTGTTGAATTGTGTCCCCTGCTTCACTTTATCAAGCTTGCTGCCTTCAAATTCTGGCTTTTCTGGTTTCTTCGCCATATCATCATATTGTTCTTTCGCATTCTCCTCCTCTTGCTCCTCCTCGTCCTCCTCGTCCTCCTCGTCCTCCTCGTCCTCCTCGTCCTCCTCGTCCCCGTCCTCGCCGTCGTCATCGTCATCGTCATCGTCTTCGTCTTCGTCTTCGTCATAATCTTCGTCCTCATCATCGTCATCCTCATCTTGTCCACCTTCATTGTGCGCATTCGTACCATCGTCACTCTTGTGTTCCTTCTCTCGGTCTCCACCTGATCCCTTTCCTAGTTTCTTTGTCCCGTTGCTGTCTCCTCTTCTCTTCCCCTCCTTCTCCTCCTCTTGCTCGCCCTCCTTCTTCTCCCCCTCCTCCTTCCCTTCCTCTTTCCTGCTGTTGGACTGTCCCATGGCAGGCTCGACGCCCGACAGCAAAAGTTTCACTCAACTTTTAGGGAATATTCTACGAAAATAACCCATATTATAGTTAAATTGCTCACTTTTTAACCCAGAAGTGAGCTAATATGCTCCATGCCGTCGGCCGGGCCGGGCAGCAAACTAACCCTCTTTACTATCGCCCATGGCAGCCAGAGCACTTCCCAGCAACTCCGTCGAATAGCTCGCAAATCAGCTAACATGTCTGGGCACTGAAACTTCAACAAATATGCCGGCGAGAGACGGGACTCGGGAGAGACCTGGTCGAGTCAAACGGTAAACACTTCATGGCATGACATCTATCACGGAACTCCCAACCGCTTCTGCACCACTACAAGAGCCACAGTTTAATCCTATATTGCTTGTGTTAAGTACCCACACGAGAGAAAAATAACGCCTTTATCGGCACCCTAGGTTTTCTAGGGCGCCGGCAGCGTTTATTGTGACTTCTTGGTTTCCGGAGGACAGGAGGACAACCTGCAACCGCATTTCAACAAGCAGGTCAGAAACAGAAGAGGACGATCGAACCAGGTGGGGGATCGCTCCTGATTTCTCGAATTCAGGGCGTGTGAAGCTCGACATGGTGAGGCAGCGGATGGCACCCGAAGCCTTCGACTGACAGTCCAAGTGGTTCGACTGAGACCAAAGTCATCGACAAGATCACGGTCAACTCAACAACACACCTGGATCATACGGATCAGAGGAGGGATACCACCGGCCTCCATGATCCGCTTCCTGTTGTCCTCACGCCCCGCAATACTCCAGATTGTTGCAGCAGCCTTGGCCTGAAAGCATGCGCGTCAAACGTTCCAACAAGTGACCGCCTGCATGTCTTTGAAGCACCTGTAGATCTGGCGACCCATTCTGCATCAGAGACACAAGGGGCGGAATGGCCCCAGCCATAGCGACTGCCTCCTGTGCATCCTCGTCGTTGACTGCCAAGTTATGCAGCGCGCCAGCTGCGTTGCTCTGAACTTCAGCAGTCCTCGACGAGAGCAACTTGGTGATGAGGGGGATGGCGCCAAGACTCTTGATTTTCTTTTGATTCTCTTCGTCAACCGCAAGGGACTGCAAAGCTCCAGCGGCCTTGGCCTTCACGTGCCTATCCTTGTCCGAGAGCAGCATCATCAACGCTTCAATGCCACCAGCGGCCGCAACAGTCTTCTTGTTCGCAGCATTTACACACAAGTTCTGCAATGCTCCAGCAGCGCTCAACTGTGCCTCGCGGACATCTGAGTACAGCATCGCAACTAGCGGTTGGATCGCACCAGCTTGTGCAATTGCAAATTTGTTCTGTTCATTTGCAGCAAGATTCCACAACGCACCAGCAGCACTGGCTTGCACCATTGGGTCTCCGGGTTGAAGTAGCTTCACCAACGGTCCAATAGCTCCATTTTGTGCCATCAGCACTTGTGATCTAGAATCCAAAGCCATTGTCTGCAATTCCATGGCCGCATAAGCTTTTTGATCTGCGTCACCGGTCTCAATCTGGTTCATGAGTTCCTTGAACTGGTCCGACGAAAAGTCGAGGATTTGAGGAGATTGCATCACGGGCTTCTGCGCTTGCTGCTGCTGCTGCTGCTGCTGCTGCTGAGTAGATGAAACACTGGGGTGCTCATGACCATCATGTGACTCATCAACGGAGAAGTTGTGTGAAGCGTCGTGCTTGTCATCCTTTGAGTCGTCCAATTTGCCTGTACCACCCGAAGAAGGTGGTTTCTTCCAGTTGACGCGAGAATGTACTGATGCAAACGAACTCCTATCAACCATGCCAACAGTGTGCACAGTTGAAACTGCTTCTGTGGCCGGTAGAAGGATCCCAAGTTTCGTCTTCGGCATAGGAGGCGGGGCATTTTGAGCTGCTTGTTGCCACATCTTCCTCACGTCTGAAACGTTGGCACTGCTAGTATCGATACTCTTTGGATCAACGGTTGCCGTGGATGATACCACATCTGCTTGCTTTGGCTTCGACTTGGCGATCGGGTCAGCCCACTTTTTGGGTTTGTCCGTGCCAGAGGAGCTGGGTGATCCAATTGAAGTATTGCTGAATTGTTGAGATAATCTCGAGACAGACTCGTTAGAAACTGGCTGCTGATATGCAGATTCAGAGGTGGGTGGGGAGATTGAATCACTTTGGGTCTGATTGCTGTCTACCTGTAATTGATCAATTCCTGCAGAATCCATTTGAAGATCAAGTGGCGCTGTTTGAGAGTCGCCATTCGCAGAGAAATCCAACCCATAAGAAGGAAGTTCGCTCCCATATGCCTTGGTAGGATCTTGAACAGCTGGAGCTGGAGCTAGGCCATCATTGCCGTAATAGCTCGTGTAACCCTGGTTCACGCTTTGTGGCACGTACTCTGCTCCATAGGTATTGAAGGAAGCTGTCGTATCAGGCACTCTGCCATATTGAGCATCTGATCCATACACAGTCAACCAGTTACCACATCGCCCACCTCTTTCGATGCTAGTTTCATAACAAAATATGGACAGATTTCAAAACCCCAATATTCAAAATCAATATCGAATGAATCCAGAGCAAGAATTCAAACAAACACATGATTGTACACGGCACGAAAACTGAGATCAATCATGCGGCCAATGTAACATGCTTGTAGCTTACCCATGCCATACTGAGGTGCACCGTACGCTCCGTAAGTTTGACCCGCAGGGAACTCACCATATGGCTGGCCGGCTCCTGCGCAGAACAAGAATGTCAGGGGGGCGATTTCTTTATCTGAAAAAATCACCATATTCTGCACCATAACCCCCCGTGCTACCATAGCCATAGCTGGGGAAGCTAGAGTGAAATGTCAGCGAAACGTTGTTATGGGTCAACATTCAAATTCCAGGTTTCTGAGAGCTGCTCACCTCATACTTTCGGCGACGTTTTGTTACAGTCCAAGAGCTGTGCCAAGGGGTGATCCAAGTCCAGAATGATGGAAACAGGGATAGGAACAAATGGAAGCCTGGAATTATATCAATATTTTAGCTGTGGGACCATAGACATAAAACTGGCCACAGGGTGTTCGCTAGACACCATCGGCAAGCTTCATCACGCAAGACAAAACAAAACTACAATCTAAGTCTTGTGCAACACAATGTGTAACAGAAGGTAAAAGGAGATAAGCGCAAAACAACTCTTGCACTAGGCTGAAAAATTCAAAATCTTCTTAGGCATTTCATAGGTAATGTGAAGGTACAAGCCACTGCTCATTTTCTAGTTACGGATCTGATGTCACAAAGAAGGGATGATATCAAATAGCATCAGCTTATACAAACTCACAAACTCTACAAAGACACATCTGTCCTGTCTCCGTCGATCCGATCTCACAAAGGGCAACGTCAAAATCCCCTCATCACACACTACCCCTGCAGACACGGAAGCATGCCGTCCAGAGTCAGCCTATCTCTTCTACAGCAGCTCGCTATGGACATCTCAGCATTGCACTTTTGCCTGCAGCTATGAAGGCGACTTGCGAGAGCGCTTCGTTGCCCATAGCTGCATAGGGCGCGGGCGCGGAGGAAGGGGTACCCTACAAAGGTCCTAGCTCTTAGCCTACTAAGACCAGCGCTATAGGAAGCGCATAACACGCTAGCACCACGCTATAGTCCGACGTAGGGGTGTGCTAGGAGTAGGTGCTGCACCTGTTCACCCCCTCAGATGTGTTGCATAAGGAGGGTAGGGTCCATTTAGAATAATCTGTTGGGGTGGGGGTAAGAGGAAACAGGGGTAGTCAAGGGAAGATTTGAGATTTGGGTGGGTCATTCAATTAAAGATGTGGGGGTGGGCAAGGAAAAATACTCATGGGGTAGGGTGGGGTCATGTTGAATGTGGGGTCTCCCCATTCAGGATTTGAATTCAGCCATCGATCAAGGGCCCATAATTCACTGAAACTTGGGGGTGAGGGGTACTCTTTGGGAAAAATTACCACTTGGGTATCCAAAATTTTCCAGTCAGTGGGGGTTCTAAAAATGGCATATGGAGGGGTCCACAAGGAAAAAGGGGGGTATATTGAAAAGAGGGTGGGTGTGTGGTAGCGGGGTACAAGGGCTTCGCTGGTGGTCATAATAGTTGTTGGACTACGACGAAAGTATGTTGAAAGGTGGGTGGGGTGCATATTGAGTGGGTGGGGGTACATGACGAGGGGTACAGTTGGTGACATGGGGTAGTGGTATGGTTATCAACAACTCGAGCTAGGCGATGGTACGGCTCAATCAGGGGGTAGGGGTATACAAACAAATTGACAATGGTGTCATCAACTCAACTATTTCAATTGGCTCTCTAATTGATTTGTTTATGCCCTCCCTCTTGATGACCCCCGTGCAACCTGTTTGATTCACCCTCAACACATCTCGTACCCACCCCCATTATTGTCGGACCCCCACAGTGACCCCTACTCCGGAGTGTTCCGATCCCGACCAAAGTACCACAGTTGTCGTCCCTACCCCTGGCCCCCACCCCCTTCCTCAGCACTTGACGCTAGAACGTTCCATAGCGGGCCGGGCTTCACTCCCCGGGTCACGGTCTACCCCGGAGTAACATCGGCGGGCCTGGCCCGTAGGTCGGCACCGTGCTAGGAGGCGGTGTGCTATAAAAATCACATTTATTGGATAGTATATCATTGAATTTTACAGTGATATCAACAGTAAACTACAAATAATTTCCTTACTGCGTACAATAAACTATAGAATACAATTGAGTTTCCCACAGGCAGGCAAGGGGAAAAAAGTTGCCAGGATCTCGCTATGGCCTGCGCCGCTTTCTCGGCCTCGCTCTCCTCCCCCTCGCTGTCTCGCAACCTCCTAGCCCCTTCCTCGTGGCTGACTCGTCACTCCGTCCATCCTCTGCCCGCATCCCGCCGCCAAAGTCTTCAACAGCCGCTCGCCATGGCGGATCCCCGGGAGGGAAAGCACGTCAACTCCATGAACAGGTTTCTCCTCCTCCCCGGGTCTTCACGATGATGACGGCGTGTACTGTTGTGCAGATACATGAGCATCGGACCATCTGATGTCCGCGCAGTGCAAGATCGAGCCGATGGCGTGGCAACATCGTTGGAGTGGAAGAGGACGAAGGTTTGCTGTGTGGCCTTGATATACGATCTGAAGGGCGTGCAACAAGGACGCCTTGCTGAAGCTCATCACGAAGAGGACGAGGGAGAGGCTGCGGACCGATGCTGTTGAGGCCACGCGGGTAGAGGAAGGGGAGGAAGCGTGTGGAGGGTGAGATGGCGGCCAGGAACATCTCGAGCAGCTGCAGCTCGACATTTCGAGACTGTCGGTCATACACGTTGCGGGAACAAAAGGTGAGGAGCCGGGGTCGAGGAGGAAACCTTGCTCTGCATCATAGTAGAAGGGGGTGTTCAACGTGCGACACAGGCAAGGGATCGACATGCAGCATGGTCGAATCCATCTTGAGGTCCAAGGTCAGCCTCCTGCTCCTCCTGTTCCTCCACCCCGCCCCCCCCCCCCTCACCCCCCCAACCCATTCCCCCTCCCACACGCCCCCGTCACGCTGCACCGCAGGGCTACAGGACTGGCTTGTACACGTCGCCCCATCTCATTGACGTGGGTCCAGGCTGAGCATGCTCGAATATGCCATGAGCTGAGAGCAGGTGCGCGAGAGAGTTCGAATCAACGGGGACCCCCTCCCGCATGCGGAGTTCTGCCGGTCAGATAGCGAGGGGTGCATGCTCGCATGCCAGCTGTGACGTGCTCTTGGGTGCGAAGGTACTTCTGGGAAGTGCACGATGCGCTCAAGATGTTCTCCGACGACGAGCAGAACGAAAGTCAGATGCCGGGATACTTCAGGTGCGCGATAAGAGGAGGGAGCGAGGGAGCGAGGCAGGCAGGGATTGAGGGAGGGTGCGGGGGTGCGAGAGAGCAAGGCAGGCAGGCAGGCAGGCAGGCAGGCAGGCAGGCAGGCAGGAAGGCAGGCAGGCAGGAAGGCAGGCAGGCAGGCAGGCAGGCAGGCAGGGCGAGGGATGATGAGCAAACAGGTTCCTCACGGTCCTCGCATTCAAGATTTTCCTGACTGAACCCATCGATGTTGCCATCGTTGAAGTTGGTTTGGGGTAAGGAGAACTACATTCACCTTCTCCTCCTCCTCTTCTTTCTCCTCCCCTTCCTCCTCCTCCTCCTCCTCCTCCTCCTCCTCTGTCCCCTCCCCTCCCCACCACCACCTCCTCCTCCTGCTTACCATTCCCCTACTACCATTCTTGACTCCTCCTCCGACACCCTCTCCCTGCATTTCTTGCTGAATCTGTTGTTTCTCAAAGTGGGCGGTTTGATGCTACCAACATTGTCGCTCCTGTAGCCTGCGGAGTGAGTCTACTCCTCCTTCTCCTTTCGCCTCCTCCTTCTCCACTGCCCTGTCCTCTACTGCACCGTCTCCCCTCCTCCTCCTCCTCCTCCTCCTCCTCCTCCTCCTCCTCCTCTACCGTGATCGTCATTGACCTCTCTTACTCGATCATATGACTTTGGAATTGCCAAGATAACATCCCTGGGCTTTGATCACACCAACGTGCTGGGAAACACGATCGAAGAAATTGCATTTCAGAAAGCAGGTGAGCAAAATTCTCAAACTCCTCCTCCTCCTGTTCCTCCTTTCCATCCTCCTCCAGCTCCATCCTCCTCCTCTCCATTATCATCATCCTCCTCCTCCTCTCCTGCTCCTCCCCTCCAGCTTTTCATCCTCCTCTCCATCCTCCTTCTCTCCATCCTCATCCTCCTCAATCAGTGTCGCTGCCAGCGTTTGTTCTGGACCCCAAGCCTGACTCCTTTTTCCTCCCTCCTCTTCCTCCCTCCTCCTCGAATGTTCGTGAGCTCATTCCTACAGGGATCCTCAAGGTGGAATGTCGCAGTCATTGACGTGCTTTTGACTTGTTTGTCGTCCGCTGAGCAGCCAGGAGTGCTCAGCTTCACATCTCCGCAACGGCCGAACGCCATGAGGGTCCTGGAGCAGGAGGCGCAGAAGGTTAGCAGAGAGCAGGAGCGGGAGCGGGAGCAGGAGCAGGAGCAGGAGCAGGAGCAGGAGCAGGAGCAGGAGCAGGAGCAGGAGCAGGAGCAGGAGCAGGAGCGGGAGCGGGAGGGTAGGAGAAGGGGAGGAAAGGAAAGCTGAGCTGCCTTTAGGTGGGATGCCCTCTGCTGGAAGTTCCTCCCATGTCCAAGTTTACTCGAGGGAATGAGGCGAATGCCCTGGACATCGGGCTCAAGGGAGAAGTGCAGGACATTAACGCCGGGCTGGCCGTTGCTCTTTCTAACGCGTGGTAACCCTCTCTCACCTCATCCTCCTCGTCCCCTCGCTCCACCTCCTCGTTCTCCTTCTCCATCTCCTCCTCACGCCGAACATGTTTGAGTCGCAGCCTTGGTCGTGTCCTTCAGCTCTAGCCTCTTTCCTGTTCTCAATGCCGTTACAGGCTGGCGAGGAACCAGGCGAAGCCTCCGCGAAGAGAGGATCTCTTTGTCGTGTCCGAGGGTTTCAGGTTGAGGAGGAGGAGGAGGAGGAGGAGGAGGAGGAGGAGGAGGGGGAGGAGGAGAAGGAGAATGAAGGAGCTGAGACTCGGTCGGCGTGTAGGGAAGGGCTGAGGGGCGTGAGGATGCTCGGAAGGTGTCAACGGCTCGTCTTCGCTCCTCGCTCGGGCCCCGTGTCGGGCAACGTCGAGGTCTCTTACTACCTGGACGGAGCTCACACGTTGGAGAGCGTCGAGTGTGGTGAGACCTCCATGTCATCCTTGCTCAATCATCTCCCCCAATGGCTTCCGCTCCTCCTCTCTAGACCTCTCTGCTCCTCCGTCATGAAAGCGCTTCCCATTCGTTCCCTCCTCGTACGAACATCTCCTCCCTCCTTCCCTCCTCTACAGAAAACCTTCTCCTCCCTCCTTCCCTCCTCGTTGGAGTGCTCCTTTCTTCTCCTCCTCAACGCTTCCTCTCCCTCCTCATCTTCCTCCTGTCAGACTTCCATGCAGGAGCGCACTGGTACGAGTCCAACGTGGGCTCTGCGCAGCGCAGCGACGTCCAACAAGCTGCCAACATCCTCGTCTTCTACTGCAGCGGCGACCGCGACTACAAGTCGCTCCTCGAGCCCCTCATCCAGCTCAACAAGCACCACCCCTTCTCCAAGGCTCTTACCCGTCCGCTCAGCCTGCAGGAGGGGTAACACTACCGCAGGTCCTCTTCTGCCCCAACAATGAGGCCATGGACACTAAGGGCATGACCCTCTCGTCGTGGACCCGCCTCATCGCAGCTCACTGGGAGGTGAGGGCGTACTGGGACGAGCGCAAGTGACGGGCCGGCAGGAGATGACGGGGAGAACGGCCGACATCCTCGACGACGTGACGGGAGGGTTGCGAGCTCTGCTGCTGCCCTCACCCTTCCTGGCAGGTCACGTCCCTCGTCGACCGCATCTCGTCCGAGGCGAACGACGAGTTTGGCCTCGCAGCGGACAGCAGCTGGGACCTGCGGGCCAACGGTGATCAGCTCTTCGCCCAGCAGCAAAGGGGCGAGGCGAGCGGGTGCAGCGGCAGCGGGTTAGCAGGCAGGAGGAGGGAGTACAGCGTGTACATCACCGGCTCGCTGCTGCTCTGCGGAGATACGCTTGAGGAGCTGCTGAGCAGGACAAGTGACCCTGTACAGGCCAAGGAGTGGATCCTCAAGTTCAGCCAGTAGGGACGGGGCGGCGCCCTGACAAGCTGTAGGCTGGTAGAGGGCCGAGCACTGACCCGGCGAGTTCACAGCAGTGCATTTACTTGAACAAATCGATGAATATCAGCTGTTGAATGCCTTAGAGGCTCCTCACACATACTCCTGGTTCATGGTGGTTCCGGTCTCAAGGATGCCGTGGGCGGACATCACCATGAAGCCGAAGATCGCCTTGGATGCGATGTCGAGGATGGAGTAGGCGCAAACCTCGAAAGAGACCGAGAAGGATGCGAAACCGTCTGAGAAGAGCCAGACAACTCTGCGATGATCGTGTTAGTGACTGCAAGATTGTGCATAGATTTGGCTCACGGGTAGAAGATCCATGACACGATGGTCAGCCATGCCAGACGCCCGTAGACATCAGCGCGGTCGTTTCCTTTCTGAAGAGCAGAATCTCTGAAGTTGACGGCGAGAGCGTAGAGCACCTGTCTCAACTGTCAAACACAAACCTCCGAGTCTTCCTCATGCTCATTACCACAACAAAGAGAGCCATGGAGATGACAAACCAAAACCACTTGACTGTTGTCACGATCGAGACCGTGCCCAGATAACCTCCCACAATCATGATAACTGCCGCAGGTGTTACATACACCTCTGCCTTTCCTCTACCTCTCTCTCACCGTCTGCTCCCATCACACCTCCAATAAGCGCAGGCTCAGCTCCAGCAATCAATCCGAGCTCGAGAATGATCAGGGCGGTAGTGATCGTCCAGTCGACATATCGTGCGTAGAAAAACTGCCTGCAGCCAGCAACTGCCGTCCACCCCTGGCCAGACAACATGGCAAAGTAGGACATGGTGGCAAGGCCACAGATGAAGACATTGCAGTAGTAGTACACTTTCTGGGAGGTGGCGGGACCAACACGCGTGATGAAGATGATTGTTGAAACAGCCAGGATCAAGAAGGTGATAGTGAGAGCACCGACACCAGTAGAGCCGACCTCCTCAATGGTCGTGCATGCAGTAGGAGCCAGGCTCTGTGCAGCAAGCTGCTGGAGCACCTGCCATAGGATCAGGCTGCTGAAATATACAGGAATCCGTGCTGAACATGCACAGAATCCCACAAATCGAGCTTCTCATACACAGATACACAGCAAGATACACATCAAAACACATGTAAACATTCTCCTTGCACAACCTCCAGCACATTACACATTATGGTTTGGATATGATCAACCCCCGCCCGCCCCTCCAGAGCTTTTGGATGAGGCGAGAACAGCTAACAAAATTCACAATCGAGACCCTGCTGTCCAGATAACCTCCCAACAAAACTCTCTACATTTCAATGCAGGATCTCGTTCTCTGAACAAGGATTCCACAAATCGCTTCTGTTGCTCTGCTACATCCTCGAACGTTCATAGCACGCGATAAACGCTAAAAATCCATAATTCTTCCTTGGACAACGGTATACAAGGTTGAAACGACAACATCTGAATCGCTCAGAATTCCATTCGTCACAAAGAAACACCAACTAAAGCTGCTTCAAAAAAGGAGGGTGTATATTTCAATGGCGATCAGGCAAGAAAATCAGATGTCATGATACAGCTTCGAAGGAAACCATTATCATACAATTCTACACTTGATGCAAGCGCAAGGTCATCAAGAGATTGGATGTTTGAGCGATCAAGTCAAGAAAAAACTCACAACGTTGCATTGCAAACTTCATTTCTACCGTCATCGTAACATATCACATCGCAACATGATGCATGCAGAGCAAGAGCTCAGCGGTATCAGAGTTCAGGGAGCATACCATCGTGAGCGGCGTGACTCTTCGCAAAGACGCTTCGGGAAAAAAAACCTAAGGGGGGTGGGGTTGATGCGTAGGGTAGGGTGATGGAAAGTACCGGGTACTATGAGGGGATGTTTTATGGTAGGACATAGGGCAACGAGGTCCTGTACCCCTCAAAACGTTATCAGAGTGGGTTTTTTAGGTGGTCACTCGGAGGGGTAGGGGTACTCTTGCCAGTACCAGGTACTTCAACGGGTAGAAACACAATGAGGGAGGGTAGGGGACCCTCTCCCTGCCCCTGTATTAGTGGTAAGGGGAGGGGGTGGTAACTAGCTGGCTGTCTGCCATCGGGTCCCCGGGTCCTGAGCTCGCCGGGCTGAGTGAACAGGCTGGAAAGGTAGGGGTAGTCTCGTACGGAGATAAGGAAAAGTTTAGTACCGACTCCGAGTCTAGCCTGTTTATTTATTGAGTGAAGGTATCAGTTAAGTTTGGAGGACAGCAGTCACGGCGGCAGGATTGGGACCCTTTGGTTCTCGCTGTCTTTTCTCTTCTCGCCGTTTGGCCTGTGCGACAGTGTCAGGCTCAAGCCTCCTCGTCTCTCCTGATTGTCCTCGTACTGATTTTTAACTTAATTTTGAGTAAAGAGACTGAAAAAGATTCTGAGAAGGGCAAACCGGAGCAAGTTACGCTGCCAGGCCCCGGTTTACTCAAAGTTAAGTTAAAAATCAGTACTGGGTTGTCAAAAAAGTTTGGGGATGAGGGCATCTCAAGTTTGCTGTGGGCATGGTGGTTCTGGTTGGATGGGGAGCATGCCGGAGCCGGAGGCGGAGGAAGAGGAGGAGAGGAGGAGAGGATGGATCTGATGCATGGATGGGTTGAATCTGCAACGATCAGGACAAAGACGATGAGCGCGGCTGCAGGGTCCCTAGATCTGGCCATTTTGTTCCAAGACGCCACAGGGCTGCTGTACACAAATGGCGGCAAGGAAGCGCGAAGAAAGATGGAGGAACAGAGGAGTGAAGCGAGACAGCAGGAGAGAACCATGCTCCTGCAACGGCTAAAGAAAGCTGTTCAGGGAGTGTTCGCTCTTGTCATCAAAGCAGAGGATGATGATGTTGAAGCAGACGCAAGGGGAAGACGAGAAGTGGGGTCAAAGACACGTTTGCTCTACTCAGCTACTCGGGAGGTAGTGTGGTCTGTCTACAATATATTCATGCATGGTTTGATCAAGACAGGATTCAACGAGGATCCGGTATGGTCTCTCCTAAAACAGATTGTGGCAGCAGTCCCTAGCATTCAGTTGAATCTGCTCATGCTACAGAATCAGCCTTCTATCAAGACTCAGCGGGGCAAGGCTTGCGCCTTCTTGCATATGGCGATTGCAGACAAGTCTCTAGAGGAAATTATCGAATTCTGTGATATTCTGGGGCTCAAGGAGGACCGGTATGAAGAGTGGTCCTTCATGCGGGACCTCGAGACCCACAACACGCTGCCAACCCTCATTGTGGGTCTGGCACAAGTGGACTTGTCGTTTGACTGGATGGTGACGGACGAATATGCTACTGAGCTGAAGAGGAAGGAGCCCTGCTCTGTCTGGGGTCATGGAGGACTCGCACCTATACCTGAAGAAGACGAGCACCTTGTTCAACGAAGGGTACAAGTGCGGCCGGTTCGTACCAAGGCCAAGAGCAAGGTGAAATTTACTGTGGTGCCGTGGCGTGCTGTGATGTGCTTGGCAGGTGGTCAGCATCGACAAGATGGACGAGAGTGATGGACATCTCTCGCCAGTAGATGTGAGCAAGTTGATCGATTCCATCAACCTCTCAGTGGACGTCTCGGAGGCCCTTGGGCACATCCCAGAGATGCATGAAGACGAGCAGAGCAGCAGCTTCCAGTGCGATGACAACTGTCCGATGGTAGGCGATTGGAACAGCACCTTCGAGGTCCCGATGACCACGGAACCTCCGCTGGACGACAACAGGACTGTTGATTTCAACGTTTCTCCTGTACTGCAGGAGCTGGACAGGAGTGAGAACGACTGTGACCATTATCTAAATCTGGAGTCTCCGCTGACCGGGAGGATCCAGCTGGGGCAGCATGTGAGTTCGCTCGTCTCTGACTCTTTGTTCAGCTCACCTGCTCCTGCGAACCGCGACAACGGAGCAGGTTCAGAGATAGTTAACGATCGCACTGTACATAAGGATGAGATTGAGGAGAACCATGAATCGAGCGATTATTCTTGGGAACCAAATGCTTCTCAGCTTCTAGCAGCAGGAGATGGGACTGCTGGAATGTTTGAAACTCCTGCTGATCGCCGGCCTCACCTGGAGGTTTCACAAGATTTCAAGGAGCTCGACACAGGAGCCGTATTCTCCATGCGCGTCAAGTCAAAGCAAGAGCAAGTGGGTCTGAATGGTGGTGTGTGTACTGCAACACCTGACACGTGGGAGGAGGAGGATGGGGTTTGCGATAGAAATCAAACATATCATGGGTCTCAGGGCCAGTTGGAGTCTTCTGCTGCCCAGCACAATAGCTCTTCCATGGATAGATCGTGGGGGGAATCATCAATTGCGTCAACGAGGGATTTATCAGACCGAGAAGTTAGCGCTGCTGCAAGAGAACCCGATGTTCATCGTAGCAGAGATAGCGGGTCGGCCGAGAGCAGCACTCGCTCTCTCCGTTTTCTTGACGAGCAACCGGCGTTTGAACCAGGTCTGATCACGACAGAGGAAGCGGCTAGTAGCAGGCTCTTCCCAGCTTCCAACGTCTGCGCTGCTTGCGGGGACAAGGTGCCACAGAGTTCTGATGTGCGGGGAGGGTCTGAAGGGGTTTCAACAGGTTGGCACCGGATTCCTGGGCAACGCGAGGTTCTGCAACTACACGAGGACGTACTTCTGTCCTCGGTGCCACGTCAACGAGAAAAGTGTCATCATTTCCAAGGTCCTTAAACGATGGGACTTCACTCCTCGAAATGTCTCCAGCGCAGCCAAGGCATACCTGCAAGGTACTGCCGCTAGTAAGGCTCCCCCGCGTCCGATGTGACTGGTCCCCAGGGATCTACGAGCAGCCTCTCTTTAGCGCAGCAATGGACATCCCTCCATCTCTCCAGCAGAGGGTGAAACAGCTAGAGCAGATCAGAGACTTGAGGAGGAAAGCGAAGATACTGCGCGAGTGAGGCTTCCTTCCCCTGCCTCCCCATCCGCCTCTCCTCCTCTTCTCCCTCCCCTCATCTCCCATCTCCTCCATCAAGGAACGCTGATCAGCTGTGCCCAGTTACGTGGTGCAATGCTCAAACTTTCCCAACTCGCGCTGCCAGCAGGAAGACAGGATTGCGGCTGTGCACCTGCATGACAGGGACTACCTCGTTGCTGATGACGACTCGCTCTCCCTGCGGGACCTAGAGGAGGTAACCGTTCCTTCCCCGCTGCTGGGTGTTGATGCATGCCCCGTCTCCCAAGATCAACAACGGCATACTCAAGACGTTCCTGGAGTCGACGATCGAGCCATGGATGGAGCATGTGACGAGGCGCTGCTTGCTCTGCAGGGAGAAGGGATACGTCTGCGAGGTCGGAGGGCCCCCGGCAGGAGGAAGATTCTTTCTCTGATCCTTGTGCAGATTTGCAACTCCAAGGAAATCATCTTCCCCTTCGAGCTGGAGAAGGTCTCAAAGTGCGAACGTTGCGGCGCCATCTGCCACACCGCCTGCTCCACAAGATCGACGCGCTGCATGTAGGAATCGAGCGAGGGCCCGGGCTGGTCGATGACAATGGTGCAGGAGGTGCTTGCGGATCGAAAAGATCAAGCAGAAGAAACAGCAGACAAAGTGATCGTGCGGCAGGGCCCAAGTTCGCAGTGCCCGCCGGGTCAGCTCAACTTGTGACGGCCGGCCGGCGGGCCTGCCAGGAACTTCACGTGTGACTTGACCGTACACTGTACGGTCTGTCACAGTGCCGCGAACCGTGACGGTGGCATCGTGGCTGATAAACTAAGTGAAATGCTTCCGATTGTCCCGATCACGCTCCGGCGAGAGCCTCGGAGCCTTGCTGCACTCAGCGGCAGTCGTGCGGCACTGGCGGCGGGCGGCACTGACTGCGCGGCGCCGCCCAGCCGGTCACCACCGTAGCATCGCCGCCGACCGTACGGACGGTCCCGCCCCCGGCCGATACCGTGTGACGGTCGGCGGCGGGCCGGGCCCGGCCGGCCCGGCAGCGCGGCCCGGCGCTACCGCTTTCAGGTTTAGCTCTTAGGATCTCTTTTGTTTGCTGTGATTTTAAAAGTGGGGTGAGCTTTTGGGGGTACTGGTTCTCATCATACCACTGTGCTCTGTCAAATGGGGGGTAAGGGTAGTTTAGCTCTCGTGACAGGATTAACTAAAAGGTAGCGGCCGCAAAGGACTTTCCGCGACACCACCAACAAATTTCAAACCTCACATTAAATTTCATAAATACATATTGAAATTTTGAATATCCACATTGAAATGATGAAATTGTGTCTAATTCAACCCCTCAGGTAAATATTCACGTGGATTTCACGGGGCGGCCATGGCTTGGCGGGTTGGGTTGGTGGCGATCATGGCTGGCGGGGCCCTCGCAGGCTCTGCCTCCTCCTCCCCTCCCCTCGACCTCTCCTCATCAAAAATCTCTCCTTCTCCTCTCCCTCTTCTACAGCGTTCGCCTCTTCTCCTCAAACAGGCCTCCGGATCCCTACCAGCCGGCTGTGGGATCCAGCCCTTGGGGAGGCTGTATGGCGGAGGCGGCGGACGCAGCGCGAGCAGAGAAGGTATAACAGGACAGGGCTCGAAGAAACGAGCAGAGAGGAAAGAGAAAGAAGGTAAGCATCCTCGTCCTTGCTTTCAGAAGCCACGTTGTCCATGCTCGTGCGGCAGATTTAATCATAATTGCAGGGCAGAGGGCTATCCCGAGGATGAGCATTCGAGGCGGCAAGGAGGAGGCAACTATGGATGAAGGGAAGTCGAAGATCGATGAAGCTCTGTACAGTCGTCAGCTTTACGTGACCTGAGCCTTCTCCTCCCCACCCTCTGCTGACTGGCTTGTTCGCGTACGTCAGGTTATGGGGCACGATGCCATGCGCCGCATGCAGCAGTGTGATATTCTTTTGATCGGGTTGGGTGGGCTGGGGATTGAGATCGCAAAGGTAGACTGCTGGTCCCTCCCTCCGACCTCTTAGCCTGCGGCAGGACCTTGCCCTGGCCGGAGTCAAATCGCTGACCCTGCACGACCCCACCGAGGTCACGACGAGAGACCTGACTTCACAGTTCTACTGCACGGAAGAAGACTTAGGGAGGAACAGGATCGAGGTGAGACGCTCTCCTGCTCTGCTCTCGGCGCCAGCAGCTGATCGTTGGCGCAGGCTTCACTGGAGAAGCTCTCCTCCCTCAACCCGCACGTGAAGATTGACGTGCTTGAGGGGCCGATCAACGGCACTGTCATCTCCAAGTACAGCCTTGTGATCTGCTGCGAGAACTGCTTCGGGGAGTGCGTGAAGGTGAACGACGCCTGCCGCCACCATGGCGTCAAGTTCATGATGGCGCAAACCCGCGGGCTGGCCGGCAACATCTTTGTGGATCTGGGCAAGGACTTTGAGGTCTGGCCGCATGCTCGAGATGCTGCGGTGCATGAGACGTGCTGACACTCGCTGCCCTTCCCAGGTGACTGACACCAATGGGGAGAATCCTGTTCAGTTCATGGTCGGCTCCATAACGCAGGAGGAGGTTGGCGTCGTCATGACTCTGGACGAGCAGAGGCACGGGCTAGAGGACGGAGATCTGGTGACCTTCTCGGATGTGCAGGGCATGACGGAGCTCAACGGCATCGAGCCAGTGCCTATCAAGGTTCTGGGTCCTTACACCTTCACCATCGGCGACACTTCCAAGTACAGCGCGTACAAGAACGGAGGGTATGTGCACCAGGTGAAGAAGACTGCGAGGATTGACTTCAAGTCCCTGCGAGAGAGCTTGCTCGATCCTGAGTTCACGACGAGCGACTTCGCTAAGATCGAGCGTGAGAGGCAGCTCCTCCTCATCTTCCAGGCCATCGACAGCTTCTTCATCCAGTTCGGAGCCTTCCCGAGACCTGGAGACCAGCAGGACGCGGAGTATGTCCTGCAGATGGCGAATCATTTCAACCGTGAGATCATTGTGGAAGGGAAAGTTCTCAACAGGCAGCTGGTGGACAAGATCGATAAGAAACTTGTGCTCACCGTCGCCAAGATCGCGAGCGGGCAGCTGAGCCCGATGACTGCGGTCATTGGAAGCATCGCTGCGCAAGAGGCGCTGAAGGCGTGCTCGGGAAAGTTCATGCCGATCAAGCAGTTCTTCATGTTCGATGCTCTTGAGGCCCTGCCGGACAAGGAGCTGCCGATGAGCGAGTACGAGCAGACGGGCAGCCGTTACGACGCTCAGATCGCCGTGTTCGGGAAGACGCTGCAGAAGAGAATCGAGTCGCTCAAGTACTTCCTGGTGGGCGCAGGGGCCATCGGGTGCGAGATGCTGAAGAACTGGGCGATGATGGGAGTGGCGTGCGGGAGGGGGCAAGATTCACTGCACAGACATGGACGTAATCGAGAAGTCAAACCTGAACCGTCAGTTCCTCTTCCGCACCAGCGACATGCAGCAGCTCAAGTCGGAGACGGCAGGGCGGAGGGCCAAGGAGATGAACCCCTCGCTCAACATCGAGACTTACTCGGTCAAGGTCGGGTCGGACACGGAGGATGTGTTCGGCGACGATTTCTTCGAGAGCCTCGACGGAGTTTGTAATGCGCTTGACAACGTTCAAGCTCGTACGTACATGGACCAGCGATGTATCTACTTCCTCAAGCCCCTGCTCGAGAGCGGAACCCTTGGCACCAAGGTGAGAGAGTCTTAGACGATGAGGGGAGGAGGAGGAGGAGGAGGAGGAGGAGGAGGAGGAGGAGGAGGAGGAGGGTAGCAATGATGCGGGGGGTGATTCTGTAGAGGAGGAAAGGAGGAAAACCGACGGTGATGGTGGACCACTTGATTGCGTGCTAATCATGCAATGGTGGTGGTGGACATGACGATGACGATGACGATGATGACGAGCTTGAGGAGGAGGAGGAGGAGGAGGAGGAGGAGGAGGAGGAGAATCTGGTGGTGGTGGTGGTGGTGATGGTGACGATGATCGTCGTGCAGGGCAACGTGCAAGTTGTGATTCCGCGAATCACCGAGTCCTACAGCTCCTCTCACGACCCTCCCGAGAAGGCTATTCCTATCTGCACGCTCAAGAACTTTCCCAATGCGATCGAGCACACGATCCAGTGGGCGAGAGACGACTTTGAGGGAGTGTACAAGCAGGTGAAAGCGAGGAAGAGGAGAGAGGGGAAGAGGAGTAAAGGGGGAGCGGGGTCAGAGAAGAGGAAAAGAGAATGGAGGAGGGGATTTGAGCGGTAGGAGAGAGGGGAACACGGGGAGGGAGGGTGACCTTGGGAAGGAAGGAGGGAGGAGGAGAGGAGCATGAAGCTAACGTGCCATCCTCGTCAAGGTCATCGAAGATGCTGTTTCCTATATTTCAGACACTGAACGCTTCATTGAGAACCTGAAGCAGCAGGTCCTACTTCTTCTCGGCTTCTCCTTCCCGTTCCTCCCCTCGTACTTCTCCTCCTCCTCTTCTTCCTCCTCCTCCTCCTCCTCCTCCTCTCCCCCCCCCCCCCCCCCCATCTTTCCCTCTCCTCTCTCCTCTCCTCTTCACCTCCTCTCTTCTCAATTTCATCTTCATCTCCTCCTCCGCTTTCCTCTCACCCGCTGCCCGCAGCCAACAACGGCGCCAGCGACTGTCAAGGGCATCATCGCAACGCTGGGAGGCAGCAGGCCGAAAAGCTTCGAGGACTGCGTGGCGTGGGGGCGGCTGAGGTTCGAGGAGCTCTTCAACCATCAGATCCAGCAGCTCCTCGTCTCCTTCCCCCTCGATATGGTCACCACGAGCGGGCAGCCCTTCTGGTCGGGAGCCAAGAGGCCTCCCACACCCCTCCAATTCAGCGAGGAGGAGGAGTGGCATGTGGAGTTCGTCGTGGCGTCTGCCACGCTGCGGGCAAAGAACTTTGGCATCGAGGTGCCGGCGACCTTGGAGCGCTCGGACGTGATGAAGCTGGCGAGGAAGGTACGACGGGAGAGTGTCGGAGGAGAGGTAGGGGAGGCTGAGGGGAACGGGCAGGTCAAGGTGCCGGAGTTCGAGCCGAAGCAGGGGGTGAAGGTTGACCTCAACGACGGAGAGGCGAAGAAGGAGGGGGAGGATCAGGTGATGGAAGGGACCTCCGACTCGGATGCTCGGATGCTCTCCAGTCTCCCTCCTCTCTCCTCCTGCTCTTCGGTACAGCTGGAGCCCGTGGAGTTTGAGAAGGACGACGAGCTCCATATGGACTACGTTACCGCCTGCTCGAACCTCAGGGCGACCAACTACAACATCCCTGCTGCCGACAAGCACAAGACCAGAGTCAGTCGCCTCCTCCCTCTCCCTCTCCCTCTCCCTCTCCCTCCCCTTCTCCCTCCCTCTCCTCTCCCTCCCCTCCTCCCTCTCCCTCCCCCTCTTTCCCATCCTCCTCGTTCTCATCTCCATCTTGCCTTGCAGCTCATCGCCGGCAAGATCATTCCGGCCATCGCCACCACGACCTCCATGGTCACTGGCCTCGTCTGCCTCGAGCTCTACAAGCTCATCCAGAACAAGCCCGTGGAGCAGGTACCTCATTCTCATTATCACACTTTTTGCCACCCAATCCTCCCCATTCTCCTCCAGTTCCTTCACTCCCCTCCTCATCCCTTCCCTCATCCCCACCTTCCATCCCTTCCTTCCCTCCCTCGTGTCTTCTCGTATCTCCACCCATGTGTTTGGTTCCTCCTTCTCTCCTCTCCCCCACTTGCTCCTCCTCCTCCTCCTCCTCCACCTCCTCCTCCTCCACCGTCACTACCACCACCAGAAAGCCCCTGACTAGC